ATTGCCTGCAGGATAATCATAAGTGGTACCCATAGCGTACTTTATACCCGGGACACTGGTGGCAGTCTATGTAGATATGCCTTCCTCGTATGTCCTGGGGCGCTTCCTGCATTTGGGTTTGTTGAGACCAGTGAAGGGTTGACTTTCGTAAAAATAACTGTTGACTACCGTCAGGAATACACTACACACCGTTGTTCACGATGACATGAAACTGAGGGATTCCAAAACATTTGATAGCAAGGGATAAGCATCTTTGACTTACTCATATTTCACTGAACACACCCAAAGCGATTTAGGATGGCATTACTTCATGTACTTTCCGAGTAATTATGAGATACATCATATGGTTTCATGTAGCACACTTAACACACGCTTAACCTCCGCATGAATTAAACATTCAATTCCTCGATGGCGTGGACTGACCTTGAAGGGTCAAATTGAAAAAATATTAACAATCAATAATCACACGGGTGCGAAAAGTCGATAATCATGCAGGTGGGAAAAATCAATACAGATGAGTCACCAGTGTAGGTATCAACTCCTGTCAGACACGTAACATAAACCGTTAATGCCCAGCTCTTGCTACGCTCGGGCTCACGCTGTTCCTTGAAGTTTGTCAGAAACGCTTAGTAACAACGGAGGAAAAAACCAAAACATCAATTGTCGACTCGAGGATTCTCTATTGTTACACCAACATATAAATCAAGTATGACTAAGGTCTGTGAACAAATATTACAATAATAAATCACAATATTTATTCTGACGGTTTTCTGCTGACTTCTTTCTGAACAGGGACCGATGAGACGATGACTGCAGTATCGATGTCTCCGCGAAAATATAGGGAAGTTGGTTTTGAGCGAACAACCATGAATTGATCGTTCAATCTTCAACTACATTGACACTCCCCGGCAAAATACGGATCCATCCCTTTTTTCCATCACGACCAATGCACGTTGACTTGCATGCTATTGCGAGAACCTGGGTCACTCGGACAGAGCTGAAATGGAAAACAAACAGAAAAGCCAACACACCACAAGCATACTCACAGCACAATCTCACACATCAATGACGACCTGCGCCTTCCAGTTAAAGGCATCCTCTTGCAACACAATCGCCACTTGCTAGAGTGACTCTTGCAGAATGCAAAGTGACCATGGCAGCACCTCACGATACTCTACGCACATCCTCTTATCTACTCACTACCAATTACCACTGAAATCGCTTGTCACTCATTCTTCCTCAGTTCTAGTAACGGTGACGTATGCAAGCCTTCCTTCTCAGGTTGAGGATCCAAGTGGAAGTCTTCCGGACACAAAGAGAATTACCAACAGCTAGATGACAGATGATATCAATTCAGTATATACAATATGAACATATGTACAAAATCACACACCAATCACATTGGACTGCTCATTGATGCGCTACCCTTTGAAGAATTGTAGGACTTACAGCAGTACGCCAACAACCCTTCTCAGGTTGACGCTCTAGGTTGGAAAATCGTCGCAGAGTTCATTTGCTGACTTCCTTCTATGAGCTATATCCTCAAATCTGAACGGCAACACGCCCATGTCATTGTATCGTAGAATATAGATGACGAACAAACATACGACGTATCTGGTCAACCAAGTGTAGGCACAGAGTAATTTACACCAAAGGTAATAGCATTCAAATAGTAACTTGAAACTAGAAATGCCTTTATTCATGCAAGTCAATTTAACAATTACTCTCTCGTTTACACTTGGCTTATCCTCTCTAAACTGAGCAATATCTTTCGTCCTTTCAAATGCACCAATAATATCATAGTCATTGCACAAGATACTTGAGTTGATGGGCGTCTGTTTCATTGTGGATGACAACACCAACGACGACTGATTGATATCAGTTGATGAACTTAGCGGTGGATCAGAAGCTGTTGTTTCTCGGCTTTCAGAAATTTGTCTAACTGCAAGACCACCACCACTGCTGTCTTTTATTGGCGGTACGTTCGAAATTGTCGACATTTTTGCACGTGTTTGCTCTGAAATTTATTTACTGCTTATTGTCATATAATTCTTGAAATTATGGTCCAAATCTCTAAAAAACGTGTTCGTAGAAACACAATTGTTTTAGATAGTGGCTCAAATTCGGTTATAACTGCATTACCGCCTGGTAATACAGTATCAACTACTAGCTCTCAAAATGGTTTGAGTGCAGATCTCACTCCTGTGATACAGGTGAAAGATGTTCTGTTAGAGAACTCTGAGTTCTGTAAACTAAACCTCCTTTTGAAAGATATGCAGAGGCAAGTAAGTGAAATTCAGAAAAAATTAGATCAGTTTGATAGTATGTCACTGCCAATCTCAAATACCACGGAGAGCCGTTCTGATATTGGCCAGGTTAAGTGTTTACTGGATGTAACTCAAAATAAGCTTTTGAATTTAGACCCAATAGCCTGTCTTTTAGAAAGGCATCCTAAAATATCTCCAGACAACCTAAATAAAGCTGAAAATCTGATTGACTGCTTGGCTACGGAGGTGATGAAGCGTATAACCTCTTCTCACCAAGCTATAGTTTACAACGTCCCAGATTCTCTGCCCCTGAAAACTGTAAGACACAAAATCCTGATTTGTTGCGGCATGGCTAGTGTTCCATGTGAATGCAAACGACTTCGTAAAAAGTCTAACCAGGCTAATTGCCCAATCATTTTTAAATTCAGTAATTCCCTTGATGCTAGTAAGTTTACTAAATGTCAGGATCACTTAAGACTGAATAGCAGTTATAAGTCTATAACCGTAGCTCAGGATAAAACACCGTGTCAGCGCAGAATAATGCGTAGTAATAACCTGGTCACCTCCTCTAGCTTTGATTTACCAAATAAGGATCGTGCACAGCAACAGACACCTAGTGCTGAAACTAGCATTCAGCAAACTACACAACAACCACACCTGCCAATGGAACTAGGAACTGATTTAGATACCAGTACCCCTGTAAACAAAGCCTCATCGAAAGATGTTAAAATGACTAGAACTTCTGCAAGTTGTTCTAAGAAATTTCCCCCCAAACGTAGTAACCTCACCACGATGAACAAATTTCGCAGGGTTGAGACTAATGATGGGGAAGAATACTTTGTATTCAATAAGCCTGCTGAGAGTAAGAATGCCAACAAACCATCACTTGTTACGAAAAACTCCTCTCGAAACATAAGTATATCTGGAGGTGTTCCGCATGCTCCACCTTATAGAAAGTCAGGCTCCAAGACTCCTAAAGTCTTGCAGCCAAAGCACCTTCCTTCACAATTCCCTTTAAGTTATAAAAACAACCCGAAGGTGTATACCGGTATGACGAATAGCAGTTGGATGGGTAGACCTTTGATGCTATGCCTTTTAACCGTCAACCTAGGCCCAACCTGTACTACCCTTATATCCAGGAACACATGGTAAATTTTCCAGGTGTCCCGAATCACTGGTACGACCCATGGCACCTAGGACCACCTCATTGCACACCAACTCCGATGTGCAGACACCCAGTCCGACCTCCTTTTCATTCATAAATTCTTGCGGTGCTGACGCACAAATAGATTTAGGTTATGGTGACATTTTAAGCCAGTTTGTAGTATCCCGTGACTTATTCACGATATTGCTAATTAATGCACGTTCCTTAATCAATAAGATATCTGAACTAAGGACATTATTATTAGTCGCCAAGCCTACTGTAGCTCTGATTACTGAGTCATGGTGCTCATCCTCTGTACTTGATGTGCATATAGGTATCGATGATTACACTGTACACCGTGCAAACAGAGATTGCAAGCGTGGTGGAGGATGTCTCATATATATACATAACTCATTTGTAGTCAGTAAGGTGGAAGATGAAACAATGAATAATGTACCTGACTCACTCTGGGTTGTCTTACATGGAGATAAGTACAAACTTCTCATAGGCTGTGTTTATCGAGCACCAAGCTCAACAAAAGAAACTGATGCGTTATTAGCTAAATCGTTTGCACACGCATCCTCGTTTAGTGCTAATTACAAAATAATTGCAGGGGACTTCAATCTTCCAGAAGTCAATTGGCTAACTAGTTCCGGCCCCCAACGCTTCGACGAATTACTTGCCACTATAGACTGTTATGGATGGCAACAACACGTCCAGACACCTACTCGTGGTGACAACATGTTGGACCTTGTTTTTTGTCATGACACAATCCCAGTATCCACGTATGTTGGTAATCGATTTTCCAGTAGTGACCATAGAATGGTACTCTGCTCTCTGCCTTTCTCACCACTAAATACAGGAAACAAACAAGACTCAGGAAGCACAATATGTCGTAGTTACAAATATACAGACTGGGGATTAGTCCAAGAACTTATTCGACTCTGTCAATGGGATGACTATTTTACCACTGACTCCCTGGAGGCCTTAGTAACCCTGTTTTACAGGAATGTTACCCTTTGTCTAGATACAGTTGCTCCAAAGAAAATAGTGAAATTAAGTAGACACCGAACTGAATATATTCCAAGGGCACACCGTAATAAGTTAAGGAAGCTGAAGAAACAGTACTATTCCACTAAGGACATATCACTATTGCTCTCAATCCACGAGTCTCTTGAATCTCTCAAGCGCCTACGCTCTCAAAAGGACCTCGACGAAGAGTTAACGGCACTTGAAAGTACCTCCAAAGTTTATAACTTAACGGCACTTCTTAAAAAACGAATGCAGTCGGCGAGGGAAATCCCATACTTACTTCACGACAAAGTAATCTACAATGAACCTGCCACTATCTGTGAACTCTTCAGTGATTGGTTTGCAAACTTTAGTTTAGAAACACATATGCCTGGTGAAACCGCTCCCCTTACTATCTCTTCCCTTGAAAGCATTGTGTTCACTAATCAGTTAATAGTACAAGCAATTAAAAGCCTTAAACCTTCCACTAGTACGGGACCGGATGGCCTCGCTTCGATAATTTTCAAAAACAGTGGGTGTGATATACCCTGTTACTTCTTAAATTCTTCTCAATATCTATGGACACTGGCACTTACCCTAGTGAGTGGAAAACTAGCTTCATAATTCCACATTACAAATCTGGTGATAGGGCAAACGTCCGCAATTACAGACCCATAAATATAACCCCAGTTATCTCACGAATCATGGAGAAAGTTGTAAAAGATCAATTGTCAGACTACCTAATTAGGGAAGATCTTGTTACAAGGTCTCAACACGGATTTCTCAAAAATAGATCCTGCGTTACTTGCCACTTCGACTTTTTCAACTGCATCACTAGTAGTCGCGAAGCACGTAAGCTAGTCGTTGTTCTATACTTCGATATATCTAGGGCATTTGACATGGTATCTCACAGTATTCTCTTTGAGAAGCTGTACTCTTGTGGAATTCGCAACCCATTACTGAACTGGTTAAAATCATTTCTAAGCAACAGGGTACAAATAACCAAAGTTGGATCTGTATTGTCTCATCCTAGGCAGATCTCAAGTGGGGTCGTGCAAGGTAGTGTCCTAGGTCCACTTTTATTCACAGTCTACATTAACAGCATTTGCAAGTGCTTCACCTCAGGTAAACCATTCCTATATGCTGACGACCTCAAAGTCGTCTACTCCTGCTACACTCATGAATTAAGCGATATGGTTACTAAAATACATCTTGAACTAAGTAGCCTTGCAACGTGGTGTGCTGAATCCTGTCTAAATTTTAACATTGACAAATGCGGCTGGATTTGTATCGGCAACAGTAAGCTTGATCTAACTCTTGAAATAAATGGGCGAAAACTAGCTAAGCTCAACTCAGTCGTAGATCTCGGTATTAGATACTCTAGTAACCTAACGTTCGCTGAACAGACTGATTATGCCAGACGTAAAACGCGAAGGCTGATAGGATGCATAACACGCAATTTCTTTTGTTGTGAAACTAGGGTTTTATTATACAAAGTATGTGTCCGACCTATCTTAGAATACTGCCCGTTTATTCTTAGCGGACTCAGACAAAATGACAAGCTTAAATTAGAGGGAGTGCAACGGCAGTTTACCTCAAGAACTCTTGGTTTAGAAAGTGGTCTGGAATACCATGAGCGATGCGAAAGACTAAGATTAGAACCCCTCTGGAAAAGACGCCTTAAGCTAAACCTTATCTTTTACTATAAGCTAACTAATCTTCTCTTGCATTCCTCCGAGCCAATAACTAAACCTACCGCTGTCATCAGTTACAATCTTAGAAATCATCACAACCTAGCTGCTATGGAGCACTGTCAGACTTACGTGCGGTACAACTTCTTCTTAAATAAGTTTTCAGTCATTTGGAATAGACTACCAGCTAATGTGCGCGATGCAAACACACTTCCAGTGTTCATCTCCTCAGTCACCAGACTGCTCAAAGATGACAATGCACTTTTGCGCCTGACTCTTACACCTTCTTTTTCACCCTACATAGATATTTTAAGTTCTTTAAACGTGTAGTTACAACAAACTACAATTATAAATTTTAATATTATTGGAACTAGATGATAAACATTTCTACACAGGACAGTAATATTAGTTCACACATAATATAAAAGTTAGCATAACGGGACTAGTTAGTTTGTGTACCAAAATAACCACAGTTACTAAACAGAATATATATGTATATATTTATTAATCACTCCTTAAGGACTCCCGTTGCTTTCTTTTGCGTTGCTGTTGTTTGTCTTCTTTTTTCTCTCACCATTTCAGCTTCCATTTGACTTTTTGAATGAGAATGAATAATGTGGATATTTGACCATTTACAATGACAAATGATCTGCAAACATTATTGGTCCCGTATCTTTCAGTTGCCTGGTTAATAACGAATTAACTTTCTCCACGACGCAACCTGGATTACATTTGTGGAATATACTCTTATACCAATGGAAAAGTATCAATTTGTAATACAACGTCACGATTGTAGCTTATAACATAACTGATCGTATCTGTAAAATAGCTTCCTTATTACCCAATTTGGATATAAATCAAATCAAAAATAAGATTCGGATTTGTACACACCCAAGTTATATTGAGGAATTACTTCAAGCTTTATTTTTTCCCAAGTATTTTTAATCCATCCAAAACTTACTTGGGTTTTTTTGTTAATGCGAAGACAATATTCCTATATTTCATGATGTGCTCCATTGAATGACTTGTTATAACTTTTTTTTTCCCAAGTATTTTTAATCCATCCAAACTACTTGGGTTTTTTTGTTAATGCGAAGTTAATATTCCTATATTTCATGACGTGCTCCATTGAATGACTGGTTATCATATTGTTCCCACAGACCTAAGACAAAAACGCCAGCAACCATGTAACTTAACCATAAACCGAATTTATGAAATTTAAATAATGCTTACCCATGCCTGTATATTTGGTGTGTCCTACACAAGTAGGAAAAAATGTGTATTTTATTAAAACATTATTATTAATTATGATTGCTAATCGTATATGTAATTTATCATATTGATGATGCCTGTAAACTGGCGTCTCTCATGTACAAAATGAGAATATACTATTATTATTATTATTATTATTATTACATTGACACTCCCCGGCAAAATACGGATCCATCCCTTTTTTCCATCACGACCAATGCACGTTGACTTGCATGCTATTGCGAGAACCTGGGTCACTCGGACAGAGCTGAAATGGAAAACAAACAGAAAAGCCAACACACCACAAGCATACTCACAGCACAATCTCACACATCAATGACGACCTGCGCCTCCAGTTAAAGGCATCCTTTTGACTCTTGCAACACAATCGCCACTTGCTAGAGTGACTCTTGCAGAATGCAAAGTGACCATGGCAGCACCTCACGATACTCTACGCACATCCTCTTATCTACTCACTACCAATTACCACTGAAATCGCTTGTCACTCATTCTTCCTCAGTTCTAGTAACGGTGACGTATGCAAGCCTTCCTTCTCAGGTTGAGGATCCAAGTGGAAGTCTTCCGGACACAAAGAGAATTACCAACAGCTAGATGACAGATGATATCAATTCAGTATATACAATATGAACATATGTACAAAATCACACACCAAGCACATTGGACTGCTCATTGATGCGCTACCCTTTGAAGAATTGTAGGACTTACAGCAGTACGCCAACAACCCTTCTCAGGTTGACGCTCTAGGTTGGAAAATCGTCGCAGAGTTCATTTGCTGACTTCCTTCTATGAGCTATATCCTCAAATCTGAACGGCAACACGCCCATGTCATTGTATCGTAGAATATAGATGACGAACAAACATACGACGTATCTGGTCAACCAAGTGTAGGCACAGAGTAATTTACACCAAAGGTAATAGCATTCAAATAGTAACTTGAAACTAGAAATGCCTTTATTCATGCAAGTCAATTTAACAATTACTCTCTCGTTTACACTTGGCTTATCCTCTCTAAACTGAGCAATATCTTTCGTCCTTTCAAATGCACCAATAATATCATAGTCATTGCACAAGATACTTGAGTTGATGGGCGTCTGTTTCATTGTGGATGACAACACCAACGACGACTGATTGATATCAGTTGATGAACTTAGCGGTGGATCAGAAGCTGTTGTTTCTCGGCTTTCAGAAATTTGTCTAACTGCAAGACCACCACCACTGCTGTCTTTTACTATCAGCTCAGGTTTAGCACTAGCATTTGATGATAGGTGGGCTACATGCTGATCACTCACACTGAGGGTCTCACAAGTATGCATGCCTTCTGCAACTGCATGTGCCTTTAACTCTACTTCATGTTCAAGTTGCACAGAACCTTTGTTCAACTTAGCAGTAGGAGGCATATCCCTCATCTCATCATGATCAACCAAAGACAACTGTGAAGTATCATGATCATTATCCCGAATATTCACTTTACCGTCAACTTCATCATTTTCAAACTCTTTAATAACAGAAGTAGACAGTTTTGGTTCCCCCTCGCAAATCCTAAAAGGTTTAATAACTTCACTCTGACTAGTAATACCTTGTAAACTCGTAGGGTCAGAACCGCACTCTGAAGCAGCAACTCTATTCAACAATGGCTTACCAGTTGCAACTACAGACTTTCTGACCGCACCGTTGTCGTCACACAATTCAGAGTCAGGCCTGGAGTTTACATTTAGCTTATCAGTGAACTTGCCCACTGGTTTACAGTTCACCTTTGTATGCACCCCTTGCAAACGTGTACAACACAACCGTGTTTGTCTTGCATCTTGTAACTTATCTGTTGAGGATGTACTACGAAACCTGTTACACTCACTAAGTCTATATGCATTACTAGACATCATGGAGCCTTCTCGATATCCACCTCTCTGAGGCCTGTTCGTCATCAATGATTGCGTTTTACCCTCAGACTGCTCTATTCTAGGGGTGAGATTCAATATACTGGCAAACTTTCTCATAGATAGTTTGACACTATATACAATTCGTGGATGTTGGCTAGCAGTGGAATCCAGGATGCGCATTTCGTCCTATTTGGGACTCGTCACCTGGATGTACCTTCATTCATCTGTGAGTGGTGATGTTCCCACCGAGGCTTGAACCCATCAATCAATCGACGGGAAAATCAAGAAATTAATTCAATAATATTGACACTATCTTTTACTAGTTTCAGGATATCATCAAACTTTGGCTCTATACCCTTATCCTCCATACGGGAGCTTATCTTCACCCACTTCCTTTGCAGTCTAGTAGGTAGGCGTCTTGCTTTTACTTCTAGTATAAAACTCGAGTTGAGGTCACTCATGCAATTCATCGAAATCAAGGTATTCTTATAGGTCATAAGATTATCTAAAAACTCGGTAATTGCCTTGGAGTCATCTTGAAGTTGACTGCCGTTACCTTTGCCAGCTTCGTATACGTTTTTTACAATCATTGAAGGTCTTCCAAACCTTTGACGTAATATGCTCATAGCCTCGTAGTAGCCCTCTTTTGGCTTCATAAACTTACAGCACTGTATAGCTCTCGCAGCATCTTCAGTGCAATATCTCATCAAATACATTAACTTCAATTCATCACTTAATAGAAAGCTACTCAACATGATCTCAAACTCCTTTACAAATTGTAAATAATCAGCCGGGTTTCCATCGAAATACCGTGGTTCAAATTTAGGGAGTTTGATGTTCCTATCATCCCTGAACGGCGAAACAGTAACATCAACCATGTCATGCTGAACATCAGACACATCGTTACATGTAACAGACAAGTCACCGTGACTTACTTTCCTGTTTGCATCCAAGACACTCTGTCCCTTCTTTGACCCAGGCATTGTTGAACTTGACCCAATTCCGAAAGCGTTCCAGATATTGCTTGTTCAAAGAGGACTTGACCGGCACCAGGAAAAATGAACGGCGACTATCCAAACTTTCACCAACTTTCTGAATCCGCCGGAATCTGTTTCTACCGTCAGAAACTGTCAGTCACGTCTCGTAAACCGTTAATGCCCAGCTCTTGCTACGCTCGGGCTCACGCTGTCGCTTGAAGTTTGTCAGAAACGCTTAGTAACAACGGAGGAAAAAACCAAAACATCAATTGTCGACTCGAGGATTCTCTATTGTTACACCAACATATAAATCAAGTATGACTAAGGTCTGTGAACATATATTACAATAATAAATCGCAATATTACTTCTGACGGTTTTCTGCTGACTTCTTTCTGAACAGGGACCGATGAGACGATGACTGCAGTATCGATGTCTCCGCGAAAATATAGCGAAGTTGGTTTTGAGCGAACAACCATGAATTGATCGTTCAATCTTCAACTACATTGACACCTCCCTCTTTTTTTAAAACGAAATTTGCTTACAGTTTAGTAATTTCTTTTGTGGGGTTGATTTGAAAATGAGCTGTTTGTGTTAGTTCGAGCTGGAATCGTCGGCTCGGTATCATCTCTTGTTTTGCTTCTGGTTTGACTGGTGATATTTTGAAGGTTTCCAGTTGTAAATCCGGTGACAATTTATGTTCTTGGGATGTAGTATATCGACGTCGCATCTGATTCTTATGTCTTATCCAGCATTCATCTCCAACTTCAACTTTGTACGTTAGAGTTCCATATCGACAGTCTATCAGGCCTTCGGTCGATAATCGCACCCCTCCGGCAATACTTCAGACTATTTCTTCGTTTATGTGACGAAGATGGTAACATGGAGTGGTGATAAGTTCGTAGCATTCGACCGATCAGAAGTTCTGCAGGGCTTTTCTTCTGTTCTGCCAGTGGTGTGGCTCGGTATACAAAAGAAGTTTTGCATTGTGTCCGGTTTTGCCCCTCTCCCTGCTTTCTACAACGCTCGTTTGAAGGTGTCCACAAATCTTTCTGCCTGACCGTTGGATTGAGGGTGATAGGGTGGCGTCCGTGTTGTATACCGTTTCTCTTGCGAAATTCCTGGAACGCTTGTAAGCCGAACTGACTGCCATTGTCAGATACGATGATTCCTGGCATACCGTTACATGCGAAGATCTTTTCAAGGACTGATGCTGTTCTACTGCTAGAAGGAGGGGTTACATGTACTACCTCTGGCCATTTTGAATAAAAGTCCACGAGGGCCAAGTAGTATATACCCTCTATCGGCCCAGCAAAATCCACATGCAGGCGGGACCATGCTCTCGGTGGCTCCAACGGCGGATCTTTGGCTGCAGCTTGACACCCATGACAGCGGTTAACAAAATCTTTTATGTCCGCACCCATACATGGCCAGTATGCATAACTTCTGGCTATGGACTTCATACGTGCAATATCCGGATGCCCACTGTGAAACTGCCTTATAGCGGTCATACATAACGAGTTTGGTACGACTACACGTTCCCCAAACATCAGGCACTCATTAGCAATGCTGAGACCGTGACGGGGGCGGAATAATTGCTTAGGATCATGACTTGAGACTGATTTTAGCCAAGGAGTCTCTACGAACTGTATGGCTTGCCATAGAGTTACATCTTTTCTAGTTGCCTGTCTTATTTGTTCTGATGTAATAGGAAGCTGTTAGATGGCCAGTGTTAACAATTTATTAACATCGTTTTCCGTTTTCACGACCGCTTTAGCTGAATCTTCGTTAGATGAGGGATAGTTGCTTACCAGACGTGGTAGTGCATCTGCGTGGCCAAAATCCTCCGTTCGACGATATCGGATGCTAAAGTCATGCCCCAGTAAAATCACTGCCCATCTTTGTAGTCTGTTCGCTGAGTGGACTGGAATACCCTTCTTTCACACAAATATTGACAGCAGGGGTTCATAGTCTGTTAGTAACGTGAATCCCCTCCCGTATAGCATTTTATGGAATCTTTGGACTGCGTAAATTAATACCCGAGCCTCTTTCTCTATCTGCGCCTAACTTTTCGGCCACAGAGATAGCGAATGATAAGAAAAACAGCCTTCTGTGTTCCGTCAGGAAACTCATGCGGTAGAACTGCACCAACTCCATTAGCTGAGGCATCAGCTGCGACTAAGATGGGGAGTTTCGGATCGTAGTGTGTTAGTAACTATTCTGAGCTGAGGAGACTCTTCAACTTTTTTACAGATTCATCACACTCTGTGGACCAGACCCACGGATTATCTTTTTGTAACAGGAGATTGAGTGGTTCGCGGATGTTGTATAATGAGGCAAGAAAGCTGAATAGTAGCTAACCATTCCCAAGAAAGATCGGAGTGTAGACACGTCTTTCGGAGCTGGCATCTGCTTGATTGCCCAAAAGTTCTCTGAGTCAGTCCGTTGTCCATTTTCATCAAAGATAAACCCAAGTACTTTACAGAAGTGAGGAAGAACTGACATTTTTCTGCTCTTAGCCGTAGTTCACTGTCGTTGAACTTCCGAAGCACCAGCCTCACTCTTTGTCTTAACTCCTCTGCGACTATAAGAATATCGTCCAAATACATAGCAACTTCGGGAATACCAGCTAACATCGTGTCCATCAATTGCTAAAATATAGCAGGAGTGGTCTTGATACCAAAAGGCAGCCTGTTATATTGATATAACCCTCGATGGGTATTCCTTGTTATTAGCTCGCGACACTCCTCCGACACTTCGAGCTGCAAGTATGCGTCACCTAAGTCAATCTTCGCGAAAAAGTTTCCGCCGTTCAGAGTGCCAAACAAGTCGTCTGTTATTGGCAATGGATAATGATGCTCTTGTAGGGCGGCATTCAAACCTGCTGAGAAATCAACACAAATTCGGATAGAACCATTTTCTTTTTTAATAACCACTATGGCGGCTGCCCACGATAAATATGTTACGAGAGTAATAACCCCTGCTTCTTCTAGTCGTTGCATCTCGGCCTCCACATCTTGAAATTAGGCATATGGAACAGGTCTTTTTGGTCGAAAAACTGGCGTCGCGTCAGGTCGTGATGTTAAAACAGCTTTCATGGTGTTGCAACATCCCAGGCCTGGCTGGAACAAAGCTCTAAATTCCTGGATTAACCCTGAGACCATCTGTTTCGACTCAGACATCACTTTCAGTTTTTGAACAGAGCTCGTCTTACTGAAGCTAACAGTTGCTACTTTGTCGCTACCAGACATCCAAGCACTTTTGGCGCAGCCTTACTCACTATGACGATTCAAAGTTGGTGATTCAATAATCACGTCATTTTTTATAATGGGTTTAGGTCTAATATATCTGTCTCTTGTTTCTGGCTTTATTGTTGAGGGCTTATTACTTTCGATCTTATGGTATACACCGCTTAACGGAATCTCTGATAGGTGCAGCTTCTCGAACCAGTCCAAACCAAAGAGGTCAAAGTTTGAGTTATTGGTGTAGCATGTGCCGACGAAATGACTATCGCGAAAACCAACGCTGCATTTTATTTATCCATTTAATCGAAGTATTCCTCCACGTGCACTAAATGCTATCTGATTTGTTTCCTCTATGGTAGGGCATCCCAACTTCTGCCATAATTTCTTTGATATCATTGTAATATCGGATGCTGTGTCGATTTGTAGGCGTGCCGGCCGTGTATTAGTCGTCAGATCGATATGTTTGCGAGGTGCCGGAGTACTAATATGATATGCGGCAGTAACGCTCAAAGACTTGGGCATGAGGCGCCGTCTGGGTCGACTACGAAATCTGGGTCGGTTGTTGCGTTTGCAGTAACCGTCTTTGTGACCAACAGTGTGGCATCGGCGGCATTTATACCGTTTGAATTGGCACAAGTTTGCAAAATGCCAGGAGTCACAGTGCCAGCAGGATGACGGTGGTTTATGCTGAGGTTGAAGTGGTGCGGTCGATGTCGACGGTACCGGATGTACTGCATGCACTTCTGCTGCATTTCGGCTGCCAGAATGCACCAGGGCGGTATCGTTATGAATGTTGATTAAACGCTGGTATTCTTCACCGACGTATTTCACAGTCATTCGTGAATCCTGTTCCAGACTATTTAATAGGCGTGTGCGTATGTCAGTAAATTTGGGGGGCTGCAAACCACAAATGAAAATCAATAACTTGAACTGGTCTTCTGAGGGCGATTTCAATTTAAAACGTTCACACGGACGATTGACTATATCCAATTGAGTATAATTATCATCCTTTTCGTTCAGAACTAGTTTCATGCAATGATATCGAATGTTGAATAAAGATCTCTGATTGCCAAACTGATGACGAAGGGTATGGACAGTCTCATCGACCGATCTTTCGTTGGGGTTCTGTGGGAGAATTAGGTTGCAATATTTATCTAGCTCACGTGCTCCCAATTTACGAAGTGGGAGCCGTACTTTCCAGGCATCATCTTTATCCGCAGTCTACTCGAAATAGGTCTTCATATTTGCGAAACCAGGTATCCAAAGTTGCGTTCACGTCTGGATCATAAAGGAATTCTGAGATGCTACTACCAATGCTGTCGTTGGCTGTAGATGAATCGGCAGGGCGTGATATCTGTAGACCAGCAAGTATTTCCGTTATTTTTAGCTGCTGTTCCATTAGTTTCTCTAAACGCAGTGGGGCCGTCTCGAGCAATCCCGTCGCCCAATTGTTATGTATGCAAATTATGACCTTGTAGACTACGAGTAAATCTAACTCAATGCGCTGGCTAATCTGTCCTAATCGCACGTCAACAACAACAACAATACCCTGTTATGACTATTAATGTCCCTCTATGCTAGCATGTAATTATTATCAGTTTTAGCGCTTTTTTGTATCCTGGTGGGGTGGACACCACAGAGAAATTATCCAACGACAATCTGCACATTCCTCAAGAAGGGATTGAACTTCGGACGTGTTGTAAATGTAAAGGAACTACTGTAGCCTAGGAGATCCACATGTTTTGCCGGAATATATTAGAGACCAGTATTATTGAGAATTGAGCGTTAAGAAATTTATGGGTCCATAAAGGCATTAAAAAGTTGTTGTATACTTACCACTAGGACTAAAATTTGAAACATTGTCAACTTTCAAAGAGAGACTGAAGACAGCACGAAAAGCCGGCACTTACAAACATGTCGTTACGCCAGGTGGGTGAGAAGCAACATGGTTTCACCGAACCGCCGAGTAATAGGCCACAGATGCCGGCCTTAGTAGACATTCCAGGAGAAGAGTCTAAAGTTCTTAGCTTTTGGGAGAGTAATGACACATTTAGGACATCCCAGAAGCAGTCACATGGGAAGCCGCGGTAAGTTTGGTGCTGAAATAAAGTTTATGCAAATTATGCTGCTAAAAAGCCAGTGATGCACATAATTGTTTTAAGTGTGGTGGAATGCACTTGTATGGACTGTTTCACAATTACTTGATCAGTTTCGCTATACGGTAAATGTAATCATTAAGCATCCACAATTGTGGATTGCAGCAACTGAATGGAAACATTTTTGGAAAATCCCTTCTTATTTCCGCCAAAAGCCCCGAAATTTTCTCAGAAAGCCTCTTAGCCCCAAAAGCTCCACCAAAACCTACAAAATTTCCAAGAATAACTCATAAATTACCCCTATAAAACCCAGAAGTTCTCCCAAACAACACCTAAATTGCCACAAAGATTTTCATTTCAGTCATTTTAAATGCCTGTTCTATAAACGAGTTTAATTTTATGTTTTATGTACAATTATATCTCTTCATGTAAATTTTTACATGCATTTCAGGTTCACGTTCTATGACGGCCCACCATTCGCCACAGGCCTTCCGCACTATGGCCACCTGTTAGCTGGAACAATTAAGGACATAGTCACTCGTTATGCACATCAAAGAGGGCATCATGTTGAACGTCGTTTCGGTTGGGACTGCCATGGATTACCTGTGGTTAGTTAACAGTTTTCATCCACATTTTTCTTAACAGGAGTATGAAGTCGACAAGGAGCTTGGTATTACTGGACCATATGATGTAGAGAAAATGGGAGTAGCCAACTACAATGATAAGTGCCGTGCTATAGTCATGCGTTACAGTTCCCAATGGGAGGTAGGTTGCTACAATTAAAATGTCAGGTTTAGAAAGTCACAAATCGTCTTGGTCGGTGGATAGACTTCCAAAATGATTACAGGACAATGTATCCATGGTTCATGGAATCAGTTTGGTGGGTCTTCAAACAGTTGTATGATAAAGGACTGGTGTATCGTGGTCTGAAAGTTATGCCATTTTCCACTGCATGCTCTACTCCTCTTTCTAATTTCGAGGCTGGTCAAAATTACAAAGATGTTCAGGATCCAGCTAGTAACTTGTGTATTTTTGATGTATAGTTTTGCAGTTATTGTTAGTTTCCCACTTGATAATGATCCTGGAACTTCAATGATAGCTTGGACAACAACTCCCTGGACACTTGTTAGCAATCTCGCACTTTGTGTTCATCCAGAAAAAGAATATCTCAAAATTCTGGGTAAGTTGTGATAATATCTTCGTTATAATAATTGTCTGTTTATTGATATTATGTATTGATTTAGCTTACTTCTGATGTTATATTCGGCACTTGCTTTTAGTAGCAGATTTATATTTAGAAATAATTGAGTGGCTGTAACTAAATTGTGAAATTTGTTCATAATTCTACATGAAAGTCGGTCTGTTAGGGGATACAAGAAGACGTGATTCCAAAAAAATATAATGTTTCCATATTTTGTATGGACTACATAGGTCAAAGTGGGAATTAAAAGTAGATGAAGCATTTTATAGTTTATTGACAATTTGTAAGATTAGTAGACTATTATCAACATTTATCACTCACATTTCAGGTGATGAAGTTAAAGTAGGCGCGAGTCGTGACACTACCTGCTAGCCTAAAGAGAACTGTGCAATTTCTAATATTTTTCCCCCGACGTTTTCTTCCCTCCCCAGGTCATCTTCAGTCTGGTGCTCAGTTGTAAGGGATGGCAATTCGAATCACTGTACAGTGACTTCGGATTCCATGCTGTAGATGATAAGTTCTCATTCCTTTGCGTTCCGAGTATAATATGGAGCCTTCATGCTTGAAGTTTCAGTAGCGGTAGCTTCCCTCTTTTTTAGAGCTTCATATGTGGTCACTAAGTTAGGTGAGGTTTTGGGGTGAGTTCACCGTAATTCGAACTTTGATCATTTGCGTGGTTGGCGAGCATGCTACCACGAAACCACCAAAGAGTTTTATTATGTACGCAACTATGTTCGGAACATTCACCATAGCGTTTTCATCGTTTATCTGTTCAAATAACTGGTAGCAACTTTTTTGACGTGTGGATTGTCTGGTGCACGATAATATTTCCTTAATTTTCATAGCAATAAGTTCTAGTTTTTTTTATACTACTTGAAATGACAGTGCTTTTTCTATATTTCTGTCAGATATATCAAAGAATCGAAAATTCATGTTAATGAAAGCTCGTCTAACATCATTGTATAAACAAGAAAGTGACTACAAAATACTAGAAACGTAAGTTTTTAATCATGTACACTAATACCTATAATATTTGATGACAATTATATTAACAACTGTACGTGCAACTATTCAGTTGAAATTTAATCGTTCTCTTATTTTTCTTACATCGAAAAGAAAGATTAAAAATACTGATTCATTAAAGAGATATTTGACTTTATCTGGGCGAATACTTGTAAAATCTATGTACGTGACTTTCACTTGTAGTCAAAGTTATGAAATTCCTGTAAGTTTGGGAAACCAGACTTTTTGAACCCCGAATTTATCGCATACACTATTCATTCTCGTGATGTGGTTTGCATCCCATATATGGTAATACATGTAAGTGAGGGCAAATTTTCGCTTGTAATACGTAAAAAACCTCTTATTATCCTTCTTATTCGTACTATGAATCTTTCTTCTTTAGTCCTCATTCAGAATGTTATTCAATAAGTGATTACATACATCTATACAGTTCGCACTGGGTCACTTATTGTATGCGGGCAAATGATACTACTTGGTTGTCCAGTTCTCGGTAGATGGAGAGGCGTTTGAACCTCTTACCCAACGGTTGGAAGTCAGGCCCATAGGTTAATGAGTCACAGCTGCTTTTGGTCCTCAATAGCATATGGCATTGTTGGTATAAGTACACTATTTGTTCAATTGGTTTTAGATATCATTTACTTGTTTTTGAGAATAGTACGTATTACCCATCAGACTATTAATTATGCGTATTCTGTGCTTATTAATATTAAAAAAACAATTTTCAATTCATATCATTATATTAATGTCTGTGAAATAGTTATGGATTCCTTAGGTCCAAAATGTGCCATTTGCAGACTGGTATATCACATCACATCTTAAGTAATTTCCAACCAATTGTAGTACAATCAATTTCTAATGAAAGTTGAAATAATATATCACTTAAGGTAATAGGCACAATACACTTACTGATAATTTCTGTTTCTTCAGTAGATTTCCAAACACCTTAACTGTTAGTATTCAGGTGGAATCTTTTCATTTTGTTGATTCTAATTTGTTTTGTAGGTTTAAAGGCAAATCTCTGAAAGACCTGACTTATCAACCACCGTTTGATTATTTCATACATGTAAGTGACTGTTGCTTTGATAGTTAAATTCTGTTTAGTTGTTCAATAAGAATACTACACCTTTATTTCTTTGATTTTCATTCCTTTACCTTCCGAGTGTAACATAGGTCTTCAAGCTAGAGGTTTTGATGTTTCAGTAACAGTGGTTTTATGTTTACAGCCAACTTTCCCTCTTTACTGGGCTTACTACTAGCTTAGCGTGGTTTAGGAGTGCGTTGGTTGGGGATCAAACCTCAGACCACGTGAAACGTGGTTGGCGAGCGTTATACCGCTGAACCATGGAAGCTCCGTATGCACCCACCGGGCTTTATATCCAGGTCCTCGTACTTACAAGGCATGCTCGTATAACATTCAGTTACTGGGAATCTATTTCTTTGATAGTAAACAATTATTGTTTTTTAACTGGTCAGATAACCGAAAGTGGGTAGTGTACTGAAATCTGTTGATTAGATACCCTTATAAAGTTGACAGTCGCTCAAAAAGAATTCACAGTTGAACAGTATGAGCAACTAAAGCTTCCTTTGATAATCTATGATTTTTGTTGCTTGTGATTGATTGGCTTAAGGCCTCAGTTTTCAATCACTGGGTCACAGTTTTGAGTCCCATTCGGCCTATTTCAGCGCTCATTCAATAAATATGATCTTTATCCCAGTACACGAAAGATCTCTTCTCTGTAAATGAGTTCAGACAGAATATAAACTCAAGGCGTAGCAGACAGCGAAAAACTATTTAACTTACATATAGATTTAATTCATTAGCAAGTTTTTAGTGTGTACATCTGTTGTTCAGACTGAATGAATTTGAGTAACCAATCTTGATTTGAAGGTCTGCTATGAAATACGTGTTTAGAGTAGCTTGTAACTATTCATTATGCTCTCCATGTTCTGTTGTACTATGTAGTTTTCCACAAAACAGTACCACCAACAACATGACAAGGCAGCTAACAAACGTTCAGATGTGGGTGTTTCGCTGAGTAGGTAGAAAATTGATTTTCATATGTCGAAATAGTGGAGATGTAAGCTGTTGGCTTGACTTCCAGCCAGTATATCCAAAGTTCAAGTCCCTCTTCAACTACTGAGTAGTGTAATTAGTGCTCACGCATTAGATGTAAGTTGTAACTTGGTGGTGGTACACAAGAAATCTGTTCCGTGTAACTTAGTTCTCAGTTTAGGTCGGGACTGACTGACTGACTGGTTTCAACGCAGAACTTTTCACCGATGTGCAGCAGTTCGAGTTGCTACACTTAGCAGACAAAGCAAGAGAAGAAAATAAGAAGAGGTTCAAAACAGAGATACGATGAACCAAGAATGGTAGTATCGAAGAACCATATAGTTTTAGTGGTTATTACAAGTCACTAGGAGTGGATGCATCTGCGCCAGTCATTGAGAACGATTTTGAGCCATATCACCAATTGTCTCCGACCATTGGTTTTTGCGTCCTGAGGACCCCAACGACGAAGTCTACACCTTCCTACGTGACTGGCTTAAACTGACTGTTCTAGATTTCATTGACTGATGAGGTCATGTTTTGGTTTGACCACCATCTGCTAGCTCTTTTCTAACCTGACTCTATGTCAGCTAACATTGCCCATTGGTGAAGGAAGGCGATGGCTAGACATGCATGCGCAACACATGCCCTAGCCATCTCAATCGATGTAAGTTCACAGCTTTGTCTATTGATTCCCCCTCTTTACCTAGATGCCTAACCTCAATATTTGTCACCCTACTATACTATTTCACACGGGAGACAGAACGCAGACACCTACGGTCAAAGACAGATAGCCAGTCTTTTCATATCTTCCACTTTCAATGGTCATGTCTCACTCACAGACAGACACAGAGGAGGACGGGGCGAGCTGTTGAGCAGTTCTGGTGCTTAACCGGATATCGAGTTGGGGTCTAAATATGTTGTTGCTATAGACACTGGATTGACTATGTAACTATGCGATTGTCAATTTTAACGGGTGTAATTCTGACTGCAACATTTGTACAACGTGTAGTAAAATCTGTACAAAACTATAGGAGGACATTTTTTCTTCTACCCATTTTCAACTAAAACAGCAGTGTTGTAATTCCTAACTTTTTTGCTGTGAAAAAATAGTTCAAATATCGTTGTTATAAAATGCATTTATTGTTATTATTTTTTAAAAATACTTTACTTTACTTACTTTACTTCGGCTATCTCCTACGGGAGGATGAGCCGGCTTCATGAACGTCTCGAATCATCGCTGCCCAGGCGCGGCGATCTGAAGCAAGGTTTTGTGATAGGGATATCCAATTCTTGTTCCACATACGGAGTCCGTAGACCGTTTGTAGCCCCAGGCACTCCATATCTGCCTTGACTGTACCAAGCCATGTCTTCAGCTGTCCGCCTCTGCGACATCGCCAAGATGGTAATGGCGAGGGATTTAGAACTGATTTGACCAGATCGTCATCTGGTCGGCGCAGAACATGGCCAAACCACCGAAGGCGGCGTTGTTGGACCAGTACTGGAATTTGGTTGATGTTGTAGCAACGCCGACGCACTTCTTCGTTGGAGAGTTTGTCCTGCCAACGAACATGCAGAATGTACCTGAGACACCAATGGTCTAATACCTCGAGTCTGCGTAAATCTTCCGCGCGAAGAGGCCAGGTTTCACAGCCATACAGCAGAACGGGTCGTATGGAAGCTTGGTAGATCCGAATTTTAGTCCTGAGACTGATTTCTCTCTTGCTCCATAGAACGCTCCTCAGCTGTAGAAACGCATTCCGGGCGTTGGAGATTCGCGCATTCACTTCGTTTTTCGCTTGGCCGTTGGGGAGCATTATGGATCCCAGATATCTGAAGGATGGCACAATTTCAATAGGTGCTCCATTTAAGGATAAGATTTCATCATTGCCGGTGGATGTGTTCGAAAACATTTTGGTTTTGGAAGTGTTAATTTTCAAACCGATAGTAGACGCGAGGTGGTTTATCTGGTCGAGCGCCTGTTGCATATCGGGGAAGTTTTCAGCTAACAGCACGACGTCGTCGGCGAATTCGAGGTCGGTTATGTGAATATCGGGCGAAAGTTGGACGCCGTGGTGCTCGGTTAGGGCGTGCCGCAAAATCCAATCAACTGTGAAATTGAACAGGATGGGGGATGCTGGACAACCTTGCCGGACACCGCTGGTTACCTCAAAAGTGCGGGACTCTTCACCGTTCACTCGGACTCGAGCTTTGGTGTTGGAGTAGTATGACCTGAGCAGGTTGATTAGCTTGGTCGGAACTCCGTCGAGCTCCATTAGATACCAGAGTGCTCCTCGATCAACTGAGTCGAATGCCGCTTGGAAGTCGATGAAGCAGGCAACCGTCGGCTGTTGGAATTTGTCCCTGTGTTCCAAAATTCTTCGCAGTGTGAATAATTGATCAACACAGCCTCTTCCAGGTCGAAATCCGGCTTGATTTGGCCTTGTTCGCACGTGGCGTTCGGCCGCGAAGCGGTTCAGGAGAATGGAAACAAAAACCTTAGCAGCGATATCAATCAGACTTATGCCTCGGTAGTTCTCGCATATTGACCTGTCTCCCTTTTTGTGGAACGGTAGCAGAACTGAGGTGCTCCAATCGGAAGGAATGGTTTCGGACTCCCAAATTGAGCAGAACAGCGAGTGCAGTGCATCGATTAGCGCTGGAGTGCAGGCCTTGTATATTTCTGGGGGTAGACCATCTTCGCCCGGAGCTTTTTTGTTTCTGAGTGTGTTAATTGTTTTAGCTATTTCGGTTGGAGTGGGTGGATCGCAGTCAACTACGTAGGGTGTTGGTAAGTGTCGTATCGGTCGATGAGACGGTTGACCAGCGTCGCGATTGAGTAGCTGCTTGAAGTATTCGGCCCATCGTTCCATCTTACCATTGGTGTCCGAAATAATTTCTCCTGATGCTGTGCGTAACACAGCATGACTGTTAAGGCGTTTGCCAGATGATTGGCGTAAGAGGCGATAAAGTTTTCCGAAATCGCCTACATTTGTTGCTGCTTCCATGTTAGTCGCCACGTTAGACCAATAGCGATTTCTGTCGTTCCTAGCAGACTGTGTAGCTTTGCGCCTGAGGGAGCGATAAACTGGAGACTTTGCTAGGCGAGCGTCTCTGGCTTGCGAGGATAGAAGCATGGTGTGCTCTGAAATCCAGTCTTTCTGCTTCTTGGATGTGGTACCCAAATGCGTCATTGAAGCTTTAGAGACTACTTCTTTGAAATGATTCCATCGTGTCTCGGGTGTATTAGAAGATGTGGATGTTGGTTCATCTGCGGTGCTTAGTTCGGCCTGGATTTGTTTGGACAAGGCTTGTCGTCTTGTAGAACATTGAAGCGGGGCAACATTGATACGCTTCGGAGGTCGCGTCTTCTGGCGTGTCGTTAAACGAAGTTTGAATTTCGCCCTAACTAGAGTATGGTCTGATCCCCCTTTATTTCCGGCCTCTGCTCCACGATAGGATCGACAGTCTTCCACCGAGGAGATCCAGCGTGAGCGCACTAGGATGTAGTCGATCTGATGTGCAGTGCGACCGTCGTTCGAATACCAGGTGAGAAGATGTTTTCTGGGGTGTTGAAATCGAGTGTTGGTGATATATAATCGATTGTAATCAGAAAAAGATAAAAGTCTATCACCATTACGGCAGCGCTGATCGAGACCGTGTTTGCCTAGTATATGTTTTGTCGCGTCGTCTGAAGGGCCAGTGCGGGCGTTCCAATCGCCGGCTACTATGAGAACGTCACGCTTTGGGATTTTGTTGATTGCCTCTTGAAGATTGTCATAAAATTCGTCTTTGATACTTTCATCAGAGTCGAGGGTTGGGGCATAGACAGCGAGAACAGAAATGTCGAGCGGGGAACCCTTGAACCTAGCGACTGCAACTCTGGAGTTGACCGGTTCGAATGATATTAGGGCATTATTGGCTTTGTTACTGAGAGCAAATGCTACCCCATGTTGTCCCGAATTATTCTGGGGGCCACTATGAAGCAACCAGAATGAAGAATCTGTTCCAGGAACGGCTATTCGGCGGGAGCCATGATCGGGTAACCTCACTTCAGATAGACACGCTATGTCTACCTTGTAGTCATATAAAGAACGCATGGTGATAGACTGGCTACCAGGATCCAACAGCGTCCTAACATTCCAGCAGCCAACAAATAGTTGGTTTCTAAGTGTTAATTTCCCAGCTAGCTTACTTTTCACACTGGCCACCGGGTGAGCACAGGGCGCGTCGCTTACCGGGAACGCCGTAGCATGGTGAGAGTTGTTTGTAGGAGAGTTCATGAAGTTTCTTGGGAATTTGGTACGAGTGATGTCCCCAGCATCGCTCGGCCTTTTGTTTGAGAGTGCAGCTCTAGCCTTTACACAGCCAAGTGTGACCTACAAGGCAGTAGGAGTGGAGTAAGGAGTCCACTATCCATTGGCAGCCGGTGACCGGAGTTCGGTTCATACGCCTTTTTGAATGGGGCCAGACATCCAGGACATCCAACAAGCCCTTTGTCCATACGTCTGCCGGTGAGCTCCAGTGAGCTTCATACGCCAATCGTTGGAGGTTTGGAATCAGGGTTTAGCCATCTCCCCTAGACTGTCATCCAATGGACAGTCAACCCGGTGGAGAGCGCCGGGCATCCGCTTTTGCCCTCTCACTTTAGTGAGAAACACCTCCGCCACGTGAAGGCAGTGAGTAGGACTTCCTCAGGAGAGGCTATGTAAGACGCACGGTCATATGGGAGCATTTCAAGAGGTGTGCGGAGGGGTGGCCAACCCGCAGCGCAAGACACCCACCCCCGACCATCCTGAGGCTTTGGATGGCATAGCTTAAAAAGGAACGTGGTGCATTCCGTGTTTTATGCGATACCTATGTGACAGAAGATGTCGGTACTGGTATTGTACACCAAGCTCCATATTTTGGTGAGGTGAGTCCTATGCTTGTCAATTTTCCTAGTCATACCTACCAAGTTAACAATTACGATTGCAAATAAATAAAGAAAACCACTGTTGTTAGGTTTTTTATGCCCAATAATTATGTTTATTGTTTTAACTCAGTAATCGCCAGTTATATATATATATATATATATATATGGATTTGGGCGATTCAGGGTAAGGCTGTTGATTCTGACAAGAATCCAAGTTTCGACTGGTATCACAGCTGGGAACTATTCATTCCAAAGTTAAATCTTTGCCGGAATGTACTGGAATTAACCCCTATCTCATGGTTGCGTTAGTTACTTATATATCTTGCTGTAAGATATCACTGAAAACCCTTTGACGGAGTGTTGCGTTCTCGGAGCTGGGTAGTTTAATTAGGATGCTTTCGTTGTCCTTCTAGACAACGTTTTCAGCGCAAACTGTATTATGAAGTGAATTTATATTTTTATATTTTTCATTTACAGCTTGATTCCACACTGTATTTTTGGTACAATTATGGAATTTTCAGCATGGATATCGGTAGCCCAAATTTTGCAGGCCGACCATAGATATCAGGTGTGCGTCGGCGGGGGTTCGAACCTCGGGCCATGTGCATGGTCGGCGAGAGTCCTAACCACTGTGCCACCGACTTTTTCTCCCTGAATAATGATATGATTGCATCTCCTGATAATCTTTATTGTAATTGGTTGTTCTGTCAGTACTTGGTCGTTTTTATTGACTTATAGTGTGGTTTATTTTTTATTAGTTGGTAAATTTGACCTGTAGTAATGTGTCTGTTAATCTGTGATTCATTTAAATAGTAGGCTTCTAGAAATCCCCTGGAATTTTTGATGTTTCCACTGTTTAAAGTGTCTACATTTTCACAGCTAGTTTGTATTCTTGGATTCAGAGTCAAAGCGGATGCCCAGTTTGACTTATTTTTTTCGATGGAAACGTTTTGATAAATCTCCCCCAGAGTCTGTTTCGTTGGCAGTGATGCCTTACTAAGGTATTCTTGACTTGTCAGATATTCATTTCCAAATAAAACCTCTCAGGTTGTATAAAAACTCCATTGCTCGCTATCTTTCATCAGTATATACGACATTAGAATAATGGGTGCAAAACAATAGTTTTGCGATTCCTGAGAGTGAAAATGATTAGTGTTACTAAATCTCAGAATGATTACTTGACTGCTTTTTGCTGACCGACTGGTTTCAACATGGAACTTTGCACTGATGTGCAACAGTTCGACTCGCCACGCTCTGTGTAGCACACGAAGCAAGAGAAGAAAGTAAAAAGAAATGTAAAACAGAGACGGTAAACAGAAGTATGAGGCAAAAAGAATAGTAATACCGAAGAACAGTATCAATCACAAGCAGTTGATGCATCTGCGCCAGCCATTGAGAATGATTTTGAGCCATGTCACAAATTGTCGCCAGTATTCACTGGTTTTTACTGTCCCGAGGACTTCAACCAGGATTTCTACACTTTCCTATGTGGCTTAAACTAACTGTTGTGGATTTCATTGACTGATGAAGTCATGTTTTGGTGTCACCAACACCGCTAACTCTTTTCCAATCTGATCCATCCTATATCAGCTAACTGCCCGTCGTCTTGGAGAGTGATTGCTAGGTTAAGCATGAGTAACACATGTCCTAACCATCTCTCTCATTCGGTGTAACTTCACAGCCTCATCTATTGATTTTCCATCCTTACTTAGCACTCGACTGATGCCTAACCACAATATTGCTCATCCTATCATACCACTTAACACGGGTGACAGAATGCAGGCGCACGTATGATCAAAGACAGCTAGCACTTAAGGCATTTTCTAAGCAGCCGTTTCAATAGGCAGCGTGTCTACAGTCACCCATACTCGCCGCACATGAAGTGGCTCAGTAGCCTAGTGGGTAATACTGTAGTGTCTGAAACACCATTGTCGCTCACTGGGTGTGGAGGTACACTCAGTTGATGAGTTCCAAACAGGACGCAAGGTGTATCCTATATTACACTGCTAGCCACAATCAACCAAGTATTATACTTTCTTAGATACCGATTAAAGTTATCCAACCCACAGTGTTTGCGTTCATATCCAAGGCGAAGAAGAATGGTATCTGGAATAACATTGACAAAGCGTACCCACACTTTATGCATGATTGCAGATTATATTATTGTGGATTCCATGTTCACGTTATAACAAATTTAGGATATGATTTCTAAACCACTTTCCTTTTTGTCGCAAACCTGTGGTTAGTTTACGGAATAATCTTGTTTATTTCATGAGAAAGAACTACTGCAGTTAGGCTACTGAGTATTTCTAGTTTACTCTCATAGACACTTTTTGCAGTTTATTCACAAATTCGGAAAGCCTAGTGAATAGTCAACCAATGTCTTCTTTTGTAAATGATTTCCGGTTAAATTATGTCAAATGTATGTATTGTTCCGTCGGTGGCACAGTGATAGAATGCTCGTCAACCACGCATCATGTGGTTCGGGTTTCGATCCCCGGCCACCGACGCACTCCTTCACCTCGCTAAGTCAGTAAATAAGACTGCTAAAGAGGGAAGGTAGGGGGCATGAGGCTGGATAGCAACCCCATCCTGTAAAAATAAACACCACTGCCACCGAAACTTCAAACCTCTCTAGCTTGAAGCCCTATGTTCCATTGGGGGGGGAGGGGACGTAAATAAATAAAATAATTAAAAATTAAGTATGTATTGTTATTCCAGTTGTCGTGAACTGTGCGTACGAAGATGTTTTAAAACTAAACTACTAACTTAACTACTCCTAAATCATTTTGTTTTGACCCCAGACAGTTGGTTGTCATCATAAATCCTCAAAGGCTAAACATGACCCATACGTAGCGCCTAGTCTTGAGTTGCTGGGTTGTATTACTCTATTACTGACTGGTTTGTTTTTAATCTAGTCATCCGAGACAGGTTTTTAATGTACCCGGTATGCGCTACACTTATTATTTGTGGGCAGTTGATGCCACTCAGTCGCGTGGGGCAGGACTCTAACCTGCAACCTTTTTGACTGTAAGACGAATGCTTAAACGAAGGGGATATTAACATAAATATATTATAATGCATCAGAGTTTTATGATTTACATAATAGTTCACACGAATTTTTTGTTCTATTCTGCCCTTCTTCTTCTTCTTATTATAATACTAGGATGATTTCCGTGTTTGTCTTGCAAATGGAGTTGTCGGCAAAGATACACCAATGATTTGTCCTGTCAATCCAAATGGTCGATTTACTGAGGAGATTAAAGATTTCGCCGGGATGTATGTAAAAGACGCTGATAAGTCTATTTGTCAGATTTGAAACAACGTGGTCGTCTAGTAAATCAGAGTACAATTACTCATAGTTATCCATTTTGTTGGAGGTAAGTATGCATACCTTGTTCTTGTTGGTGTTCTTGTGTTTCTAAGGTGGTAAATAATCAGTTTACTTTGATTGCCTGTCTGTCTGTCTGTTTTCGACATAGAACTTTGCATATATGTGCGGCAGTTCAAGTCGCCACACTCCATGTAGCACACAAAGCAATATAAGAAAGTAGAAGAAATGCATATTAGACACAGGAAACAGAGGTGTGAGACAAAGGAATAGTAGTAACGAAGAACAAAACAGTTTCATTGGAAATCATAAGTCACAAGGAGTGGATGCATCTGCGCCAGCCATTACTGAGAACGATTTTGAACCATATCACCAATTGTTTCCAACCATTTGGTTTTTACCGTCCCGACGACCCCAACCAGGAAGTGGCGAAAATATTGTATTGTTGCCTAACACATTTAGTCATAAGAAAAAAAGCATAAACAGCGAAGAAAATTTTCTTTTCGATAAAGAAAAGAAGACGAAATTCGCAGTATAAAATGATGTCATCATTCTATGTTAAAGGTTCTCATCAGCTGCCATAGACTACCTGAAATTACAATGCTTATATATTAGATGATAATAGCATACTATGATGTTTGAGTGGTAGTAAAGAAGACATACTATAAAATTGATGCATCCGAAATGAAAGCATTGCAATTTTTTTGGTTCGAGTTTTCATCTTCAGTTTATACGCTTTCAAAGACAGGGGGGAGGGGAAGACAGAAAACAGAAAAATCAATTAACAGAACAGTGTTAGCTTGTAGGTTCACATAGCAACTCCAAAAAACAAAAGCGGTTACAGTTTATGAGATTGAGATTTGTTCAGTGAGTTGAGATCACTGAATTAGATGACTAATTAATGTTCATTATAATAAGGTTTTTTGTATTTCCCAATGAATGAAAAAACAGAACGAGATTGTTTTTACTGACGTTTCGCTATTTAATGCTAATAGCTTTCTCAAAGTATTATTAAACCGGAATTCACAAAATCTCAGCATATATATAACAAAGAGTTATATTTTGATATAATAACAGATATACTATTACCTTTGATATTTGGTTTGAACGATCTTCATTGTTATTTTGACTTTCAATATGTCCTTTTAAGTTGAACTAAGTCTATATTTTTCTCACCCCCTAACTCTTTGTTGTTATATATATGCTGAGATTTTGTAAATTCCGGTTTAATAATACTTTGAGAAAGCTATTAGCATTAAATAGCGAAACGTCAGTAAAAACAATCTCGTTTGTTTTTTCATTCATTGGGAAATACAAAAAACCTCTATTATAATGAATATCATATACCCAATGCCCAAATTTTTTCAAACCGTTAAAAGTGAACTTGGTTTGGATATATATAGACTAATTAATGTTATCAAAATCAAAATTCAGTTACCAAGGGAGTGAGAGGTTAACCACACTCTCCTCTTTCTGTATGCATAAGTCTGGTTTAAATCGTTCGATTGCGATCGCTTCGGCAAATCGTAGTAACTTTACTGTCCTGTTTCCATTTAATATTTTGAAGGATTTAGAAATCTCTACGAGATGACCAGTATCAACATTATGTCTGGCAGTCGCACTCTGATAACATTTGCTTCCTTTCAAGCACAGGTTTCTTGGAATATGTTCAGAAAACCGGATAGAAGCCTTTCTTTCCGTCCTTCCAATGTACTCGCTCCCGCAAGTGGATGTAAATTCATAAACGCAGCTAGAGGTGACATCAGCAGGGTATTTATCCAGTTTTTAGTGGCATATAGATGAAGTGGTGCTGTATAACGTTAGGAATTCAGCTGCAGGTAGTCTGCAGCTGATGAGAACCTGTGAAATAGAATGATGACATCATTTTATACTGCAAATGTCGTCTTCCTTTCTTTATCCAAAAACTAAAATCAACTATATCCACTGAAAAAGCAAATTCAGCTATCACACATGCCTCAAAGAAATTTTACCTGGTATTATACGAAAGCTATTCACAATAAGGAAAGATATTAATGAAGCAAAAGAAAAACTGAAAGGAGCAATTGAGAAGGAAAAGTATGAAAGCATACTAGAAGTTGCATTAAAAAAAAAGAAACTCCTAATGAAGAAATCAATGAAAAAATTAATAAACTCATGATGGCGAAAACCGCGAATAGCACACAAATAACTAAAACCAATTGTGGACTGAAAACAAGTCAGACAGAAAGTTAACAGAAGAGCGGAGGAAAGCGTATTGAGGAAAGGGATGAACTCCAGCATTAGTAACAAAAGATTAAAACCTGAAGATATGATACCGCTGATCGAAATATCAATAGAAGGAAGGACATGACAAACGAAAAGCAATTTCATAAGCTGCTGTACAATAATCGTAATTATATTTTCGGTTGACAATTATACATCTCATCCAATAGTTGTACGACAATGCCGCATGTCAAGTAATCCACAACGGGAAATTTACGGAATCCTTCGAAGAAGTAAAGGAGTGAGTGAAGCAAGGTTGTCTACTATCGCCAATGATTTTCCTGATTGCAGTAGATTGGATAATGCGACAGAAAGCGGCGGGCAGCGAGGAAACAGGTATAAAATGGAGTCACACAAAAAACTTGGAGGATTTGGACTTCGCCGATGATATATGTCTGATTTCCCACACATTGGAAGATATGCAAGTGAAAAGCAACAGCTTGGCAGAAGAAGCATCATAGATAGAACTTCAGGTGAATATAGAGAAAACAGAGGTGATGAAGATTCCCAGCCAATAGCGACAGCGACAACAACAACCAACAACAATCAGTATAAATGGGAGGAACCTGAAAGAAACAACCTCCTTTACCTACCTGGGAAGCATCGTTTTTACTACAGGCATACGGGACTGATGAGGATATCAAAGTGAGGATAGGAAAAGCAAGACAAGCTTTCATTACTCTCAAATCTGTGTGGAGGTCAACAGCACTCACCATCAAAAATAAGATCCGGAGTTTCAACTCCAATGTGAAGTCAGTGCTACTGTACGGATCAGAGACTTGGCGCGTCATAAAGAGCATCTCAAACAAACTATAGACCTTCATTAACAGTTGTCTTCGCTCAAGACTCAAGATCAGATGGCCGGCCAGAAAAGATCAGAAACAAGGATCTCTGGCAATGAGCGAACCAACCAGGAACCGATTGTGAAATAAATAGGCAGGAAGAAATGGAGGTAGGTGGATTGGCCATACGCTGAGGAAACAATCAAGTGACATTACTAGACGATCTATTGCTCGAGTGAAACCCAACAGAGTGCGAAGCGGCGAGTTGATCGTGAGTTCGAGGGTGACTTGGAGGAGGTCATGTGAAGAGGAGATGAAAACATGTGGGAAGACTTGGAGCGGGGTGAAAAAGTTGGCAGAAAACCGAAGGCAGTGGAGACGCGCAGCTGGAGCCCTATGTTGCTCTACGAATTAAAGGATTTAATAATAATTATATTAAACCAAGAAATCTTTAAACCAATCAGATACTAGTAAACTTTGTCCTCGAAAAATGTATTACATAATGTAAGGTGTAACCTAGATGGGATGACTAATTGTAAGTTAGAAAAGAGGCAGAAGTTGGCATGACGTAATGTGTGAGATTATGACCAACTAATCGATAAGCTCGTGTTGAATGGACAGGAACTAGGGAAAGGCGATAAAGTGAATTAATATCAGTAAAAAGTTTGAGCATTGTGGATTAGATCAAATAAAGTATAATTATATTTCAATAATTTACACAATTACCAATAACAAAACTTATCATTGTGTGTAAACTATTGAAATATATAGTTATACTTTATCAGGCGATAAAGTGTTTTTACATAAAATCTGTATGAAAAAGCAATGAACAGTAGTAGGGTAGCAATATAATATGGATGATGGGAATAAAATAATAGTAGTAATAACAATAATAATAGTGAACTTACATAGCAAGAAGAAAAGAAGCAAAATTTACTCTGGCCACGGTAGGGCGAGTGAATGTGTGTATCGCTTTTGAATACAGAGGTCCGGTTTCAGATCTCGAAATGTCCAAATTTTTTCAAACCGTTAAAAGTGAACTTGGTTTGGATATATATAATCAGTGATTGGTTACTGAAAAGTAGTCATTTTTCCTGGGCTTTGTGTTGTTAATTGTATTGGATCAGTCAAGCCACTAATCTAGGTGAACTGCCATCGCGGTGTAGAGACGGTTTGGAGTCGGTGAGATACTCAAACTTACATTTGGTGCTTGTAAGCACTTATCCACAAGGCGTATATGTATTTATCCAGGTGACGGCATATTGATTCTCTCTATATCGTTGGTTAAAAATGGCATTCATGTGTGTATATATAGTTGACTTGTGACAACACTGCACTAAACTTAAAAAAATTGAGGTGGCGGGGAGGGTAGCCACCACTGATGATGGTGTATGGACATTCATGAAGTTGTTGATTTACTGACTTGCCACATAGCTAGCTTCAGAGATGAATTAGAAACACACTGAAGAGGTTGTCGAGTGACATCACGCGCCAAGCCATAAAGTGGGGGACGTGGATGGAAAAGAAAGAGTTTTATTTTTATTATTTTTTATTTTTGACTACAGCTTGATTCCACACTGTATTTTTGGTACAAGTATGGAATTTCTAGCATGGATATCGGTAGCCCAAATTTTGCAGGCCGACCATAGATATCAGGTGTTCGTCGGTAGGAGATCGAACCTCGGACCATGTGCATGGTCGGCAAGAGTCCTAACCACTGTGCCATCGACGCATCCGATGATGACATGATGGAGATCACGTAGAGAGAAGATGTAAGCGCATGGGCAGTCGTACAGAGAACTAAGTGAAATTCAGCCGGTGTAACTAACACTTGGATACTTCGTTTGATTTCACATTTATGAGTATGTCCTGCGTTGTGATTTGAACCTAAAAATTCCGTGCCCATGTCTTTGAATTTTTAATTCCCCCTCTTTTCAGGGTTGTTTTGTAATTACTTGGTAATGTTTTTGATTGTTCAGCTTTCTGTCTATAAGACGAAATGATATTTTATGTATGTATATATCTGTAATTTCACTCTAATTTCCCACTAATCAGCCTTAGTCACTGTAGTTTTCTCTTACGAACATACTGTATTTAGTTTGATGATGCATACTGGTTAGCAGTGAAACCAAAGACGACCTACATGTCTGTCGACGGGACTGTGCAGCTACATCGACTGAGATGGTTAGGGCATCTGTTAAGCATGCCTAGTCATTGCCTTCCTTCACCAATGTGCAGTGTCAGCTGACATACGGTCAGGTTGGAAACGAGCTAGTAGATGGTGGTCAAACAAAAACATGGCTCCAGTTAATGAAATCCACAACAGTTAGTTTAAGCTATTCAAGTAGGAACGTGTAGACTTCCTGGTTGGGGTCCACGGGACGGTAAAAACCAAAGGTTGGAAAAAATTGGTGCTATGGCTCAAAATCGTTCTCAGTGGTGACTGGCGCAGACGCATCCACTCCTTGTGACTTATGATTCCCAATGAAACTATATTGTTCTTCGTTATTACTACTCCTACTGTCTCATATCCCTGTCTACTGTCTCTACTTTACATGTCTTCTAATTTCTTATATTGCTTTGTGTCCTACACGGAGGAAGTTTGGCGACTTGAACTGCTATACATCGGTTCAAAGTTCTATGTTGAAAATAGACAGACGGACAGATATGTCTCCCTATTTAGAATCTGTCATCTGGACATACATACCACAATCCAAATTAGTGATGGTGATGATGATGATGATGGTGTTCTCATTGAGACGCCAACTCCAGTAACCATCGATTCAACCCTCCGAGCGTCGTCGTTCCTTAGGCAGCTAAGTTATTTTTGATCGATATCTTTTATTTTATTGGAACTTTTCAAATTTCCCATTGTTTGCTTGGTCGGTGTTATTATATTTAGGCCTCATTATTGACCTGTGTTGTCTGATGCTCTGTTCAATAAATGATACTGTGTCTATTTTTTGGTTTGGTTTGTTTTATTTTATTATTTTCTTTTTTCTTCAGATCAGATACTCCATTAATTTATAAGGCTATACCAACTTGGTTTATTCGTGTTGAACAATTGGTTGACAAGCTATTGGCTAATAATGCCAAGTGTCAATGGTATGTTGTTGATGTTGTAAGCCTGGCTTTTATTGATTTGCATATCGTTTGCATCGTTGAGTGTATTGCGTCAAATATAGTATTATTAGAGTAGCCTGACGCGCCGTTGTTGATTTTCCTCTCAATTTGGAAAGGCTAATCTCCGCCTTTCTAAATACGTGTTGAATTTCTAGGGAATTATTATTGCATGAGCTGTCTTCATGCGTTTATCAGTTTATCAAGTAAATTGATTTTTTTTAAAAATTCCTTTACGTTCCCAGTGGAACATAGGGCTTCAAGCTAGAGGGATGCTAGCCAGCCTCATGCTCCCTACCTTCCCTCTTTGCCAGTCTTATTTACTGGCTTAGCGAGGTAAAAGAGTGGTTTGGTGACCGAGGATCGAACCCCAAACCACCTGCATGGTTGGCGAAGATTCTACCGCTGTCACTGACTCACGTTTATAGTGTTAGTCAGTTAGTACTCAGTTACTCGTTACGGAACTATTTCGCTCTCGTTTTTTTGTGTTTCTTTTTTATAGAACATGAGGCTTCAGGCTTGAGTTCTAAAGTTCAAGTAACTGTGTGGTGAGAGCTGTCTGCTAACAAGCCAAACTTGTAAACAACAATTTACGTCAATATTCACATCCTGAATCGGGGACATGAGAAAAACAATAACAAAGCTTATTCATGGGAAAATCACCAGCCAATCGCAGTGGAGTTTAAAGTGTGGAAATAGGCTTCACAGATATATGACTTGATTTTCTGAGAAACGGCCACAAAGAGATAACGGAACAACCTTCAGTCAGAAGAGTTTGCTTCTCCACGAATAATAATGCACATAAAAATCTATAAATACCCCTTGGTTTTCTCAATAAACGATCTTTAGCTTGGCTCTTGTCTTCTGTCGTTACAACTGTTCTTCTGCAGAGTGGCGTTGTTAGCCTTGCACCCAACCTTCCCACATTACTGGGCTTATTACCACCTGTCCCAGGTTTCAGAGTGCGTCAACCCGGAGTCGAACCTGGGCCACGCGCTTGCTTGGCAGGCACCCTACTGCTGAACTGCAGGTCTATGAGCCGCACAGTTATTGTTTGAGGCTTGATGACACTACTCAACTAGTTGTCCAGGCTGAGGTAGGTGGAATGAGATCTGAATCTGGTAGAGTCCATTGACCAGAAGTCGTATGCTTATGCCAATGAGTTGTATTTCCACGTCAATTGTATAGACCTTTAATTAAAAGTTTAATTATGCCTTATATTATTGGAACCTGGGACTGTTTGTACAAGATCATTCGTGGTACAGATGCTTTTCCAATGTAAACTGTTCTGTCCGCATTATACTACTCATATTTTTCAGTGAGAACACATCGATTTTTGTTGTTGTTGTTGCTGAGAAAGATACTTTCATTTCGCTCTTTCCTTGATTATTTATTTATTTATTCATCTGCTCTAAAGGGTGCCAGATTTTGTCCGTGAAGGTCGTTTCGCTAATTGGTTACGTGATGCACGAGATTGGGCTGTCTCGCGAAATCGATATTGGGGTACACCGATACCGATTTGGGCTAGTGATAATTTCGAAGAGGTGATTTGTGTTGGTTCCATTGAAGAATTGAAATTACTCTCCGGTGTAGAAGTGAAAGATTTACACAAAGAATTGTAAGTTAATAATCCTTTGAAGAAAAACTACAATATGTAATTAATCCTTTCCACCCTCTTTTTTATGTTGTTGTTTTTTCTTCTCAGTCAATACATATGATGATAATTATTATGAATTTAAATGTCTGTTTTACTTTTACCTTTTCATCCTTCTGAAGTGTTGATCCAATCACTATACCATCACCGACTGGACGTGGGGTATTGCATCGTATTACTGAGGTATTTGACTGTTGGTTCGAGTCTGGCTCTATGCCATATGCTCAGGTCAGTTGACAAAGTGTTTGCATAATTTTCTCTATGCGTATTTTGATTCAATAAAATACCACTGCCACCTCCACCTTCACACACACACACACCCACACACACGAATACACCACGTCTATGCTGGCTTGCTTTAAAATTCTATTTCGTTTCACTTTTATCCTCTCAATGACCATGATATTAATAGATCTTTTTATTGACCCATCAACCCGTCTGTCGACTAAGCAATATGTCTAGGAAAAATAAACAATTATCTCTTCCTCTTCCACAGATGTAAGTGATATGCTTGCTATTCTGAACTTCATTCATCATTCGATTTCATATTGAGGTGGCAGAACAAGACTTATCACTCACTGATGATTACAATATCACCTACATACCTTCTATAAAGAGGCACATTTTCGATTAAATCCTCCGATAAATTCTCAATGTACGACATATAAATATCTTCTAAAAGGGGCCGTAACTGACTTTCCGTAGCAATACCATCAACTTGGCGGAAACAATCACCTTCAAATGTAAACCTAACATTGTTAGTATACAGAAGTAATAAATCGCTTAGATAAGATATAGGGGACGGGACGAAAAAAATGTGTGCGTAGAAATGTAACCACACAAAATGTTAACTGTTTTGAGTATGGTGAGTAAATACGAAATGGAGCAAATTTATGTTATACGACCGACATAAATGATTTTCAAATGCTACCAGTTCCTACCGCTATCTCCTCCTGTTCATATCATAAACATCGCCCTCTAATTGCAGTGTTTAATTTTTTATGGAGAGGGAACTCATCAGCCTAAACAACAGCCATTGAATCATGGGTTCGTATCCCGCCCCACCTACGTTGACCTGAGTAAATCAGTCTAATCAACTCAATGTTACCCAACCACTTGCGATTCCGTGCAGTTGTCAATTAGCCACACCTGTTGTTTGAGCGCTGGTTATACTAAACAGGGTTACCCAAACCCCGGTGACCTGAGTAAAGTTTAAACCCGTTACCCCAATGGTTAAAAGTCGTGCTTCTAGACCAAGGAATCAGAGTTCCATACACCTGGACATATTGGTTGTGTATCATCAACCCTCACACGGTAAGTGTGGCTTATATGATCTGATACACATAAGAGACCTCTGATCGGGATAATCAAGTTTACAGTGTAATTCTATGGTTTTGGAAAGTATTTTAAAAGAACATTTCACTCATCCACGAGACCTTATGATGAATTCTGTACTGGACAGCCAGTTGTTTCTCCCTGGTTCGGGACTCCTCAACAGTACTCACTCACCATCAGGGGTGGAACCTAGGACCTCCTGGTTACGAGGCGAACTTGTAGACACCATTCAGCCACTTGGACCCTCCCTAATGGTCCATGAATTCCAACTTTCCCATAATGTAACAAGTTTGTATAACATAGAATAATAATACTTACGAAAATATCCTTGAAATATCCCGATTGTGATTATAAATCATCTTCAAGGACTTCTCACTTGGATTACTACCTAGAAGATGTGTTATTATTTTCCGTTTTATCGAATGTTTTTCTTTTGTTTTTTAAAATACAGATTCATTATCCATTTGAGAATAGAAATGTTTTCGATGAAGGTTTTCCAGCGGATTTTATTGCTGAAGGTATTGATCAGACCCGAGGGTGGTTCTACACTCTACTTGTATTGTCTACTGCATTATTCGATCAACCACCATTTCGTAATCTGATTGTAAATGGAATCGTCTTAGCTGCGTAAGTTTATTTTTCTTTTCCAGTCTTCATTAATATACCGCGTTGTTTTTTGATTCGATTTTTCCACTACTTGTGAGTAGTCGTAGTGCTCATTTGGCTGTGTAGTTAGTGCTAACCTGCAACTTTTTGTGTTAGTATGACTCTTTGGCACATAGGCACTTGACTGTCAACCAGTGACTGGGTCAGGGATTTAGGTCCTCTGCCCCAGTCTGGACGATATGATGGTACAATTAGCCCTCGCTCAATAGGTATAGTTCATAGTATGCAGCATATGTTGGGGGGAGGGGTCAGTGATAGAATTCTTGTCAACCATTCACACGGTCTGGGGTTTAATTCCCGGTCGACACTCCCCTAAACCTTTCCTAGCCAGTAGTAAACCAGAAAAAGAAGTCAGTGGAATTTAAGATGCACGTTTTCTTGCCCTTGAGGCTTATCAGCTGAATATGCCCGCCTACTCACTGAGCACTTCAGTTCAATGGAAATCAGTCTATGTAAAATTCAGAATAAGAATTTTAGCAAATGGAGTATATAATGTCGGTCTTATCTCACATCTATTGTTGTACTCAACTGTAACGTAATTTCAGGATTTCATCATGAGCTGACATTAGTTAGAGAACCATTAGAAAACGTGGGAGTGCTGGACAGCTGTTTCGTCCTAGTTTTGGGACTTTTCAGCAGGACGAAACAGCTGTCCAGTACTCCCAGGTTTTCCAATGGTTCTCTAATTAATGTCAGCTGATGATGAAATCCTGAAACCAATCAAATCCCTACAAACCATCACTTGAATGTAACGTAATTCTTAGCTTATTTTGAAAGTTAGTTTGTTTCAAGTGCGATCACAGAACGATGTCAGTTAGAGAACCATTGAAAACCAGAAGGGGGGTATGGGTTACCTGTTTCGTCCTTGTTTGGGGACTCTTCAGTAGCACGTACTCACCGGGGTTCGGACTGAGGACCTCCCGGTTACAAAGCGAGCTCGTAGACCATTCACCCACTGGAACCCGATCCACTGACCCATAAATTCGGACTTCTATCAATTCGTGATTTCAGTGCAACTATTAACTTCTGTCATCGGAGAGCATTTTTTCTCACACCTGACCTAATAACAACTGCTCACTAGAACTTTATCGTGTAGCCAGTCTATAGTTTATTAGGTTATATAGACGACTTCCGTGTACACCATGATGTTTTCAAAGCAGCTAGATGGCAGAATTGTTTTCATCATGCACTGAGCGTAGTTCATAGTTTTTATTGCAAAGACCTTAATTTACTTGGTGGGTTGGATTATTAACTGAGTCTACTTCAGTAGTAATAATTACACAGCTTTGCTGCATTGCTTCATTTTAGCAACGTAACACACACACACACACAACAAACACAAAATACTTAAGGAGTAATATGTTGAAGATGCATTAATTACTATTTTTCTAATTATTGACTAATTTTGTGTGACCTAGTTGCTGTTTGTGATAAATACTTTCTAATGATGATAACCAGCACATTTCCATTTTAATGTCTGTTTACTATTCTTTCTATTCTTTGTCATTTATGAGTAATATTACGTAAGAAGAGTTAGTCATTCAATGAAGTTGCAAAGCTGCATCGATTAAAATGGCTAGGAAATGTGTTGTACATGCCGGGCCCACCGTCTTCATCGATGAACGAACCTAGGTTAGCAAAAGCGTTAGAGATAGTCTAATCACAGCCTGAAATAAAGTCATGAAGGTGTCGACTGTTTATTTGAGTGACATAGAGAGGTGTAGACTGCCTGATTGGAGTCCTAGGAATGCTAAGAATCAATCAATGTATGGAGACTGTTGGCGATAGGGTTCAATGTCCGTTCTCAATGAGTGCAATCGCATTCACTCTTTGTAGTCTCACCCCCGCAGCCATGAAGTCCTCATGTGTCTTCATGTAGGTATTCTTTCTCACGCATATATTTCTCCCGACTATATAGTTTGTTGCTGGTAATTTTTTTCTTTTATCTATTTGTGTGTATTACATGGATGTGGTTGTGTTTTCTGAGCTGGAGAGTTAATTTGCGAAGCCTACCCCCCCCCCCCACTACTAGGCAACATCTTTAGTACATACAGTTCAATTTGTTAAAGTGAGCTGTTAGATTTCTCCATGAGTTTATTAGTCATCTCTCCTGTTGGGTGACCTTAAATATGATCGGTTGTTCTAGTGTGTTTTCACACCCTCTAGGCTACTCCTATTGGAATTGACTATTTTCTTGACTTCAACTTTGACCCTTTGTGTGTGAGATATCCTTCTTATCAGTTGGTGTATTTTGTCCATGTTGATGTATCTATTGATTGACGCTTCACTGGAATACCAGGCTTCTGTGGGGTTTTTGGTGTTTCCTCTGTCTAATATTTGAACGGTGGTCGTCCCAGTCGAATTGATGTCCGTGGTTGTCTGTATGCACTCAAGTCGTTTGAGAGCTAGTTTATGTTCATGGATGCAAAGACGAAAGTGACGTCCACGGGTCACTTCGGCTAGTGTATTATTTTTCTCACTTGTTGCAACTTATTTTGTAGATGCTGTTAGTTTTATCTTCTTTAGTTGTTCAGTCTTTTGGTTGACGCAGAACCACCTGAGTAAAGTGATTTTGTTGGTTTGTGTGCGTTACCAATTCCTAAAGCTTTGAAGAGTCTTTCAGGGATTTGTGAGGTGTTGTCCCTTATATATTGTAGGGCGATTTTCTTTGTGCTTTCCTTGGGGGCATTCGATTCACTGGGTTGGCTTGGGGGTAGATGTCTTTTGATGAAGTTCCGTAGATATCCATTCTTTTGGAAGACTTCCATGAGTTATCTTCCTTCAATTTTTCTTAAGGTGGGAGTACTGCAATGCGTCCTGGCTGGCCTTCTTAAATAGTGTTTGTATAGAATTCCTTTTGTGTGTTATTGGATTGTTGCTGTTGTAATTGTGTATTTGTTCCGTGTGAGTTGATTTTCTATAAACTTGAGTTTTTAATTCTCCTGTAGTTGTTCGCTTGGCTAAGCTGTCGAAAAATGTTCTCGGATTCCTATTCTCTTGTGAATTTTATATAGTTGAATACGTTGTTTATTAAGTTGTTTTTTTTATCCTAGTAAGTCTCACACACAAAGGGTCAAAGTTCAAGTCAAGGAAACAATCAGTTCCAATAGGAGTAGCCTAGGAAGTATGAAAAAATACAAAAACGACCAATCACCTTGAAGGTCACCTACCTGCAGAGATGACTAATAAACTCGTGTAGAAATCCAAAAAGCTGACTTCATCGAATTGAAGTATGCGCTGAGGATGTTGCCTAGTAGTGGGGGGGGGCAATGAAAGCTTCGTAGATAAACCATCCAGCTAGCTCAGATAACACAACCACTTCAAAATCATCCACCTGAGCTACAAATCTTCTCCATCATATCTACAATTTGTACTGTCCTACACTTCTGAGCAAAGTTCTGCTTTGAATCTCAATCAGTCAGTAATTGTTTGCTCTATGAAATAGTCATCGTGTTGTATGTATATATTAAATTGTACAACCCTCCTTTTTTACGCTTTCCCTAAATAATTTTGATTTTCTCATTTTCAGTGATGGCCAGAAGATGAGTAAACGGGCTAAAAATTATCCAGATCCTGTTGAAGTGATTAACAAACACGGAGCTGATCCACTACGCTTATATCTGATTAATTCACCTGTTGTTCGTGCACAGAATCTACGTTTCAATGAGTCAGGTGTACATGAAGTTGTGAAAGATGTATTTCTTCCATGGTGTAATGCTTTACGCTTTTTAATTGAGGTAATTGAGGTCTGCATTGTTGTAAAATTCTGCATTTTATTGTGATCCTATAAAAGTTGTCTTGTTGCATAGTTAAGTCATAGAAGTTATTATTCGATTAACGGAGGATTTATAAGCCATGTGAGTGATGCAGTTCTATGGAAAGTGTAGTATGGCTTTTGAACAGATTGACTCAAATCGATTAGAAAGTGTAATTCCTTTCAAGATGTCCCATAGATGTATGTGCCCCACTCACTCAAGTTAAGTGTTCAACTTTCTTAATATATGTGTGTAAAACGTGGGCACTGCGACAGTAAGTAATTCCATATTAGTTTGTTTATTAGATGTATCACAAAGTCAGTGAAACAGTATTATTATTCACTGGATGACGTTTCAGAGAAAATTTATTGTAGCAGGTATATTCATGAGCAGGTGGGAAAACATAGCGATTGAAACGTTCACCCCCACCCCAAAAGTGTGATGGAGGTGTTTAGGTGATACATTCACTGTACTTAGAACACAGGATATAAATAGATTTTTCGAACACATTAACTCAAAGGTGGAGGCAATTCGATTCACCTATGAATTAGAAAGTCAGGAAGGGGAGCTTTCAATGTTAGATTGCAACGTAAAAAGGAAAGAGGATAGGAAGTTAAACACTAGTATTTACAGGAAACCCTCACATTCAAACAGGTATTTGGATTTCCGATCATCCCATCCTATGTCAGTGAAAATAGGATTGGTGAAATGTTTAAGCGATAGGGCACAAAAGCTAAGTAGTACCAAGGAAAAGCGAAGATAGGAAATGAGGCATATAAGAGGAGCCTCGGAACTTAATGATTACTCTGATAAATTAGTCAGAAAGTATGTAGGATAATGTAAAATTAAAATAAATAATGATAGTAGTGATAGTAATAATAACAATAATAATAGTAATATTAATGACGACATGCATGTCAAACAGGTGCAAGATAATGACAACACCAACAATAAGGAATCTAAATCATCAGTAGTAATTCCATACAAGGAAGGAACCTCGGAAACCCTACGCAGGAATAACAGCAGGAATAAAAGTGACTGCCATACAAACCCACAAACTCAATTAGGAACAAGCTTTGTCGGTTAAACAATCCTGCCAGTTGAGCCAATTAAAAAAAGCAATTTAGATTATATAATACCCTGTCTGTGATGATTGTCAGGTCAAATACATAGATCAGACTAGTAGAACAGGGGCAGTCAAACTACCCGAATATAAAAACCTAGCAGCAAAATCTAGATTAGTAGACCCGAATAAGATAAGAAATCTGGAAAATAGTTCAGCTATACCACTCACTACATGCAGTCACACACAACCAAACAATGGGATAGCTGGGATAAGATGACAGTTTTAAAATCTGATGTCACAGGGTGGAGGGAGAGATTGATGACAAGAGCTTTGTTTATCGTATCAACTGAGAGAGAATATGTGTAATAGGAATGATTCAACACCTGTCCACCCAGATATCTGGAAAATTCTGCTTTCCCAACGACGATAAATAGGAGAGGACAAAGAAAGCTATAAAACTGAAGTTTCGAAGTCGTGTGATTATAATTGATGAGGTGATTATGAACAATAATAAATTTTGTAATTAATACTGTTGAGCTTTCTATCCCGTCATCACAATGGCTTCCAGTGTTACGTGACTGATTACATTGAAACCTTTCATAAGTAAGTCCTACTGACTATCTTCATGAGGCGGCGGAGGGAGATGAATGTTCCTCAAAAAGTGAGTGTGATTGTAGAAATCTGCCGCCGAACAACCGAACTGGTGGACATGCAGGTTTACCTGGCGGTGCTGAAAAATCCTGATTCTTAACTTGTGGTGCATATATGGGCTGCGGAATCCGAATGAATCAATTTTTGTATGAACCTGTTTTGACCACCAGAAACTATGAGTGTGTAGCTCTTGACGCGCTGTACCATTACCTTGTGGATCACATAAAAAGTCAAAGGCTCGCGACGAGGGAGGGACAGTTGGCCCCTTGATACTACAATCTTCTGCTTTGGTCTGAGCGTCCGGCCAGTATCTCATCCTTCTCATGGATTGAAACGTTATGTGACGTATCCCTTGCACATAATGTACTAAGTTTGTATTGTGATAATATTTATGATAACAATGGATCTTATAATTAATCAATTAATTATCTACTACAGTTTGGTTTGTAAAGGTTAGTTATGTTTTTACGAGTTGATCACGGTTTGATATCAGTTAGAGAACCAGTGGAAAACCAACAGGGAGTACTGGACAGCTGCTGTTTCATCAGCCTAGTTTGGGAATCATCGGCAGTACGTACCCACTGGGATTCGAACCCAGGACCTTCCGGTTACAAGGAAAGCTCGTATACCATTCAGCCACTGGGAGCCGATTCAATGGCCAGCTGATGAATCCTAACTTCTACCAATTCGTAATTTAGTGCGACCCCAACCATTATCGTTAGTGTGACATCCATCCACACACGTGACATCTAATTGGACCTCACTGGTCACGACTTCTTACTAGAACTCAGGAAACTCCAACCTGTAGCAAGTCACTGGCGAGCATCAAATTAATTTTTTATAGTTTGGTTTGTAAAGATTAGTTATGTCCTGGGTTCGAATCCCAGTGGGTGCGTACTGCCGATGATTCTCAAACTAGGATGAAACAGCAGCTGTACAATACTCCCTGGTTTTCAATGGTTCTCTAACTGATATCAATCCGTGATCAACTCGTAAAAATCAATTAATTAACTAGTCATACTCTGATTTCCTTTCCTTGACATTTATAAAATGATTTCCTGTGACTACCTTCTTTGTTTTCTTTTCCTTGAAATGAATTTAGTCTTCCATTAATCCATATCAAAAGACAACTCATCAGTCTTTCATTGTGAAACCAGATGAATTCCCGGTGACAAGTAATTTTATGGATCGTTGGATTTTATCATTCACTCAAAGTTTGATTCTCTTTGTGCATGAAGAACTTGCAGGTGAGTACAGTCTTCCTCCTCCTCCTCCTCCACCTCTTCCTCTCCAGAAACACCGATGATGCATAGTGCTGAATTTCTGTAGTAGTCTTTTAGTGTATATTGCATGATTTTTAAGAAAGTTGTTTGACTAAAATAGATGATTGCAACTGAAAAGGAAGTTGGGATTTTATTATTTTCTGAAACACTAACTGCTTCTTAATGAAAAGTTCATTCTTATTTGACTGATTGTAGTGTAAACAGTGGAATCGAGGATGTGGGTGTGTTTCGTTTTAAAATGTATGGGACTCGTCATCTGTGTGTATGTATCTATATCCACCGTTGAGCGATGGTGAGACAGGAAACCATTGAGAACCACATTCTTTCCAACGCTGTCATGCAGTAGTCCAGTGTTGAGAAATAAATTATAACCACAGTGGAGTTAATAGATTTCTTTTTTTTTTTTACCAGGGTCAGAGCACTTTAGTCATGTGAAGTACAATCTGAGGTGGTGATAACTCATAACGGTTTGTTGTTGAAAAACGAAAAGTAAAGGTTGATTGGATACAAGTGATTTGACAGCGTTTATTATTGTATAATGGTCGTATAGTGGTGTTGGATGTTGGGCAAAGAGGGAAAATCAATCGACGAGGCTATAAAGTTACATAGATTGAGATGGCCAGGTCACATGCTGTGCATGCCTAACCATCGTCTCCCCCGACGTGCATTGCTAGCTGATATAGATGCAGGTTGTAAAAGAGTAAGTGGTGGGTGGCCAAATAAAAACATGGGATCAATCCATGAAATCCTTGACAGTGAAACTGAGTCAGGTAGGGAGGGAGATGCAGACTTCCGGGTTGGGGCCCTCGGAACTGACTCTAGGAATCAATGGCTAGAGACAATAGGTGACAACATGGCTCAAAATCGTTGTCAATGGCCAGCGCAGATGTATTCAGTCTCTGTAATCTTTCATATTCCTTTCTACTATTATCCATTTTGTTTCACTCTTATACTTGTCAGATTGTATTGATTCTCTTCACTCATCTTCTTGTGTATCTTTGTGTGCTATTTGGAACGTGGCAACTCGAACTGCAGCACTTGGGTGCCGAGTTCTATGTTGAATCCTGACAGACAGATAGTGGACAATTGAATGAAAGTGTATGCTCAAATGCACTATATGTTTGAATCAAGTGACCCAAAAGCTGTGAATAAATTCCTCTTAGTTTTTTTCCTGAATATTTAAGACTAATAGTATTAATGCTCTCACCCATATAAAAAAATATGTATGTATCCGTTCTACTTGTAAACCTTTACATTTCATTTTAATACTACTGAATATTTAAATTTAGTAGTATAAGTTGCACTGTCGAAAATCTTCCTCTACAATGCTAGAAGTAGTAGAAGTGGTAAATCTGCATCGATCTAGTTGTTTAGGACGTGTATTATTCGTACGAAGCCACTAACTTCTTCACCGAGGAACGTTGTGTTACATAAGTTTGGTTCAATTCATGAGTAATCCCTATCCAGACATTAATGAAAACATAACACGTGGTTTAGCTATAGGGCTTTTTTGGCGAATTCACTCCTTTTAGCGATACAATTGCATTTAGATAGTATTTTTTCATGAAAAGGGGTAGTAACAAAAGTGTTAAGTTATCACAGACATAGTTGTTAATATTGGTCAATTCATCAAAGAAGTTGAATAAGTGTACTAGAATGACGTAATAAGGAGAAAGAAAACATTAAATGAGTAAGTTTTGATCAGGATGTAAATAGAAACGAAGGAAATTATGGAATTACGCAAGGGTTCTTCAGAAACACAAGAGTTATAAGGAGTTTAAGAAACAAGTGAACAGAAATGAAGTCAGTCGAAATCAACAATTCTGTTATGATGTTCGTAGGAGTGGTTGTGAATAAATTTCTTGTATTGTATTGATGGAGACGCTTACACACCGGATGTTCATGAGGCAACAAACTTTCCACATTGTAAGCCAATGAGTTAAGAAGATAACCAGCACAAATAGACGTCACTTGATTTGAATCGGACATTGCACGCATGAGGGCTTCATATGGACCTGCTTTAATCAATATAGCCAACAAAGTGCAAAATAATTATTCATGACATCGAATCCAATTGAATCATACTTAGAAAATAGACGACAGCCTTCGTTAGCGATGAAACCGCCGTCAATATCCCAAGTATTCGATGATGATGGTTGTCTTGCAGACAAGATCGAAGATACAAAACGTCGTGATTTCGGCAGGGATGACATTTCATCACCAGCAGCGGCAATTGTGAAAATGTTCGTTTTCTTCCGTGAATTCGAATTTGGCGCATGCATCACAGGTAGTAGAGACGATGATCCAGTAAGCAAAGCTTCGATTAGACCCATAATATTCGGTTCCATGTCTTTCACACATGGATGAGGTACAGGAATTGCTTGCGTGCTACACGGAGTGTGGCGACTTGAACTTCCGCACATTTGTGCAAAGTTCTATGTCGAAAACAGACAGACAGGAATTGTTGGAAATAAACTATACGGTAAATCCAGTATTTGATTTCTGTTTTCTGTACTGCCTACAGCCGAGGTATATAATAGCGTCTTCAAATTTGTTACGCCATCCCGTGTAAAATGGAAAATGCCTGGTCATGAACGAAACATAAAGATAAGTGCATTTCTAGCACAGAGTGTAAATGACGGATAAGTGTCAAACGAGGATTTTTGACGTAACACAATGAATGAGATGTAGGATGCATAGGCAACAAAAAATTTCGATATAACCCTATTGAGGAGAAATTTTTTTAATTTTTGGATTATAGCTTGATGCTACACCGTATTTTCGGTACAAGTATGCCATTTTCAGCGTGGTGATATCGGTAGCCCAAATTTTACAGGGCGACTATAGATATCCGGTGTACGTTGGCAGAAGATCGAACCCCGAACCATGTGCACGGTCGGCGAGAGTCCTAACCACTGTGCCACCGACGCACTAATTGAGCATAATCTAAACGATTCAGGATTGTAATCAGAGTAAGCATGACAGCCTCGTGAATACGTGAAGAATGATACGTGTACATTGTACTTGTATGCTCGAAGGTTGACAATGACGCATGAATAATAGTTCTACCAACAACTGGAAGGGGTTCTTTTGTTGCATTATTATTATTATTACCTGGTTCAGTAGAATCATTTTCTTGGTGGAAGCAATATGCAGGCGAGTTGATCTTAGAATGATGGACAAACTATGAGCTGGTGTTAACTGTCAAACGTTCTGGAGCTTAAATCACCAATTCAGACAGAATTAATAAACAACCTAGGAATGGTTGTCGTATCCACTTCTGTATCATAGTACCGTTTAACTTCATTCCAATTCCTGACAAATCACCACCAGTACAAAGTGGTGAATGTATGTATTGTGTGCATAGTTCGGTTTAAAAAAAAAATAAATGTCTAATGCTTCAGAAATGCAGCGGAGACGAAACCCTATTGCCTTTGGCAGGTTATTCTTCACTTTGTAGATCACTTTGAAGGTGACATTTGTTGAAATGGAATGACCAGTGTTGACAGGGTCTTAACTCACTAAATTATTCATCTAACTATTTAACTCTATGTAACTTCATTATAGATAAGATTTTATTTTGATAAATCATACAGTGTTGGTATACAGTAATATTAACTGATAACCACGTTTCGAGCACAAACTATTGCCACTCATAATCATATCAAGGCACCACTCAAACAGCTTTTTTCCTTCATTTATATACATGTGTGGAATTGACTAGTTATTTGAATAAAAATCAATATGGGATAATGTTCATTGAGAAATAATAGTAATATGAGTTTTATTGATCAATTATAATCAGATGGGAAAAATAAGACGACTGTTTTTATAGTTTTTTATAAATTACTTGTTAGAATGTTGTGATGTGTTTGAATTGAAAAAGAATTTTGAGATTATATGTATTATCCTCCTTGATTATCTCATAACTTGTTGCCAATGCCTGAGAATCAACCTATCTTGAATTCTGTAATTAATTGATTTCCACCCCTCTTTTAAAATTTAGATATCTTGTTAGTTGATTGTTTTGATGAACTTTTACCGCCTAATTTCAACCCCGCCTATATCTAAAGTTGATTAACTAAAATAATCACTTGACTAGCAGAAGATTTCGATGTAAAAAACTATATATATTATTGTAGAGCTGACGATAAGGAACGTATTTTTGCGCACAATCTGTTGTTTTTTCTAAACTATGTTAGTGACAACTCACCACTTTTGTCGCTACCTTATTTCATGAAAAACATATTGTGTATAAATTAAATTATACAGCTAAACAGAGTGAACTCGCCTAAAAGCGCCCCTTTGCTGAACTGCTAATAATTTTTAATTTGGTTTCTTTCCTTCACATTTATCCAACCTGCTTGTGTACTGTTTTTTGGAGTTAAGCTTTGTGTTACTGAAGACGTGAATTGAGTAGTATAAACATTTTACCATCAATGTCAAAGTCCCACTTTGTTAAGGTCATATTCATCCCCTTAATAATTTAAAAAATCCTTTTTATTTTATTCCTGTACGTACCCAGCGGAACATAGGGCTTCAAGCTAGTGGCTTGTGGTTTCGGTAACAGTTGTGTTTATTTTTACGGGATGGGGTTGTTAGCCAGCCTCATGCCCAACCTTTCCTTTTCACCAGTCTTATTTAACTGGCGTAGCGAGGTGAAGGAGTGCGGTATTCTGGTATTATTATTATTCAAAAAAGGAATGCGGAGAAACAATGATGAACAGAAACATGAGTAAGGCAGAATAATTTCATACGGACTAATAAGATCACACATAGTGATTGTATTTGTGCCACTGGGAATAATTTTAAGCCATGTGATCAATAGTTTCCAGTTATTAAATCCTAGAGTCTTGAGGAATCCAGTTAATTCACTTTACACACACACTTACTCTACGTGACGCAGATCAATAGGCAAAGATGTCATGGATTGATTTGACTTGGCCACTTCTAACTATTTTCCAATCTAAACTTATGTCAACCAACATTGCTTATAGAGAGGATGGCGGTGGCTAGACACGCGTAACACACGTACCTTGTATAGCCGTCTCAGTTGACGTGGCTTCACAACCTGATTGATTAACTCCCCTATTTACATATCACTCTACACATAATCTTAGTATTACTCAAAATACTATGCCATTTAACATGATGGATAGGTGAGCTAGCCTCTTCATATCTTCTACTCTCAATGACCATATATCGTAAGCGTTTGTGATTATGTCGATTTCCTTATCTCTTTTTTCTCTCTTTTCATAGGTTATCGTTTGTACACAGTTGTGCCTCGTTTAGTCAAGTTTATTGATCATCTCGTCAACTGGTATGTTCGAATGAATCGTAAACGTTTGAAGGTGAGTAGTGTTTATTTGTTTGTTTTTTTCCGGTTATTTTTCTGCCGTGAATTAGGTTTCTTTTATTTGTGTATTCACAAGTGAAGAAAGTCATTATTTGTTTTTACTCTAAGCTCTGTTTAAAGCTGCATTATTTTCACAAAATCAGTGGTGAGAAAGATTATCGCAAATGGCTTTTAGAAACCACAAACAAAGAATTTGATTCTAGTAGATCTGGCTCGATTTAATGTCTAATGTTGCTTAATCTCGAAGGCTTACATGTGAAAACCAACAAGTTGGCAGAAAAAAAAGCAGCAACAGTAGCATCAGTCACCATCGACGGGAGAAATCTCATTTACTTACCGAGCCATTATCCGCTTAACCCACAAGCGGTAGACGGATGTGTTCTTCAAAGCCAGTCACGATCAATATAGCTAGACAGGGGGTTCATTACTCTGAAATCTACTGAATTCATCATTAAAAAAAACAAAACAAGAAACGCATTCTCAACACTAATGGGAAGTTAGTCAGCGCTTCTGCATGCTTCGGGGACTTGGTAAGCTTCTCCAAAGGCATTTCCATCAGGTTGTGGTAAACTTACATCAACAGCTGCCTTCGCAGCCGAATGAAGATTAGATGGTCGGTCAAAGACAACCAACCAATCAAGAAGCTTTTCATACAGCCGACAGATATGCAGAAGGAAACAGGGATGGATTGAGCATGCTTTAAGAAGAACAATAAGTGATATCTATCACATGCCAGGCCGTCGAGTAGAACCCAATAGTGATATGGAAGATATCATGTGAGAGGTGAAAATGAAAGCTTATAGGCAATTTTAAAGCCTGCTCTAAGACAGGCCGAAGAAAACAAAGTGAAGTGGAGATGTGCTGCGGATGCAGAGGATAAATAATAATAATAATAATTGTAATTCGCAATTCGTCCAAAGGATTTGCCATCATTCATCTGGTTTCAAATGATTTAGCTCTTTATACTTGTGAAGCTTTCATTGCCTTATTAGACAACATCTTCAGTGAATCCTTCAATTTGCTGAAGTGAGCTTGTAGATTTCTTCACGAGTTTGTTAGTCAACTCTCCTGGTGGTAACCTTCAAAGTGATTGGTTGTTTTTGTGTGTTTTCACATCCTCTAGGTTATTTGTATTGGTTTTCATTGTTTCCTAGTCTTGAAATTTAACTTTTTGTTTATGTGATCTCCTTCTTATAGATTGGTAAACATTGTCTATGTGTCAACCAGTCAATTAATTGCCAACTCACTTGGATACCAGGCTTCAAAAAATTCTCTAACATTCTGAGTGTTTCCTCTGTGTGATATTTGAGCACTGGTTGTCCGAGTCGAATTGATGTCCGTGGTTGTCTGTATACAGTGAGGTGATATGAGGGACTGGATATCATATTGTCTTTTGACGGCTAATGGATAGAAAGACGAAGGCGACGTTCACTTTGGCCAATGTAGTGTTTTTCACAGTCGTTGTAACTTCTTTTGTAGATGATGTTGGTTTTATCTTTTTTCGCTGTTGAATCTTTTGGTTGACATGAAAAAAAGTTAAACTTAACGTCAAAGAAACAATCAATATCATTAAAGGTAGACACTAGAAGAGGGTAAGTAAACACACAAAAACAACCAATCACGTTGACGGTCACACACTAGGACAGATGACTGATAAACTCGTGGAGAAATTTAAAAGATCACTTCAGCAAATTGAAGTGTGCTCTGAAGATGTTGTCTAGTGGGACAGTTAAAGCCTCGTAGGGAAACCATCCAGCTCAGAAAACACAACTACTTCAAAATCATCCATCTGAGCTTGCAAATCTTCTCCCTATTAGTTAAGAGAATCATTATTTGATCAAGAACTGACATCGATTAGAGGACCATTGGAAAACCATCTGGGAGTACTGGACAGCCAGCTGTTTCGTCAGTCGAGTTTGGGCCTCTTCATCAGTACGCACTCACCGCCAGGAGTTCAAACCCACGACCTTCTGTTTACAAGGCTAGCGAGCTCGTGGACGATTAAGCCACTGGGACCCGACCCGATCCAATGGCCAGCCCATGAATTCCAGCTTCTACCAATTCATGATGTGGCGCGACCACTAGCGAATATCATCTCTGGCGAGTATTTCTCTTCACACCCGACTTGCTGTTGTATGCCACTGGTCACGGCTTCCCACTAGAACCCAGGTAATTATCTCCCTGAATTGGGCCAGTCACTAGTGAGCATCCCATTGATATTGAAGAGTTGCTTGGTTTACAGGGATTTGATTGATTGGTTTCAGGATTTCGTTATGAAGCGACATCAATTAATTCCCTGTAAACCAACATTTGAATACCAATAAGAAGATGCTCACTAGTGACTGACCCTAATCAGATATGCAGTTAGTTACCTGTGTTCTAGTGGGGGGGGGGTCGTAACCAGTGAGGTATAACAGCAGGTTGAGTGTTTTTTATTCCTAGCGTAATTCTCACATACGTTTCATTGTGTGTGTCTTTTCTTCTAAACAGGGAGATGCTGTTGATGATCAAAATGATTGGAAGGCTGCATTACACACTTTACTCAAAGTGCTCTATCAAATGACCTGTCTAATGTCACCATTTACACCATTTATGACAGAGTTTATTTATCAATATCTGAAAGGTTATCTGGATTATACTGACAATCTGAAAGGTTAGTCAGATTTTTGTTTTTTTCTTTTTACCTTATTCCTTTTTCTGATAGTTGTTTCGAAGTGAGTCAGGGTTTCAAGCCTATTTTTAGCGATGATGATGATGGTGGTGGTGATGTTCTAGTTTGTGTGAACCCATTTGCCAGGATCAGACTTGTATGTACCATGTATGTACCCCGTAAAATGTAAGACGCTGCTACAGGACTGGACTACATCAACCCATAGCTTAGTGATAGGGAGTGAAATGATAGAACATGCTGACCACTCCACCTATTTGGGAAGTTGTATCAGCACCAACGGACTGATTGGCGACGAAATCTCAGCACGGACCCAAAAAGCTCGAGCTGCTTTCGCTGACTTACACCGTCTCCGGTTATCAACCAAGGGACATGTGGACTGCTCAGTAATTCGCTCCATCTTTCTCTATGTCTCTAAAACATGGCCAATACGAGCTGAAGACATGAAAAGGTTGACTGCTTTCGATCATAATGTCTGCGATCTCTTTCTCACATTGGGTGGTATAATAAGGTAAGTAATGTTGACGTTAGGCGTTGGGTGTTGGGCAAAGAGAGAAAATCAATCGATGAGGCTATAAAGTTACATAGATTGAGATGGCCAGGTCACATGCTGTGCATGCCTAACCATCGCCTCCCCCGACGGGCATTACTAGCTGATATAGGTGCAGGTTGGAAAAGAGTAAGTGGTGGGTGGCCCAGCAAAAATATGTCATCAATCCATGAAATCCTTGACAGTTAAACTGAGTCGGTCAGGTAGGGAGATTCAGACTTCCGGGTTGGGGCCCTCGGAACTGACTCTAGGAATCAATGGCTAGAGACAATAGGTGACAACATGGCTCAAAATCGTTGTCAATGGCCAGCGCAGATGTATTCAGTCTCTGTAATCTTTCATATTCCTTTTTGCTATTACCCATTTGTTTCACTCTTATACTTGTCAGATTGTATTGATTCTCTTCACTCATCTTCTTGTGTATCTTTGTGTGCTATTTGGAAGGTGGCAACTCGAACTGCAGCACTTGGGTGCCGAGTTCTATGTTGAATTCAGACAGAGGGTGCATTAACAATGTTTAAAGGTGGTTCCAACCGCAGCTGTAGGTATGAAATGAAGAGGCTAGAAAATAGAATGGCGATTGCACTAAAATCGACAGAAATGGGACACCAGGTCATCTCTAATGACTGGACCAAGTTTTTTCATAAAGGTTTTTGGTGCCTATAAGGAAAAACTGACCGCAGAATCCCTACATATATGAGTGAGCAGGCGTGTGTGCTATGAGACGATACCTTTGTTATTTCAATTTTGACTAATTTCCCTGAAGAAGTTCGTGCCACCAGTTTGCCGATCGAAACTGTTGAATTTCAATTTCTCTGAGATTTTACAAATACAATTTTTACATTTATCTACTTCTCACCCGACACCCAATCATTTGGAAACTGTTCTGTGAAATCTTGATCACAGTTCATATGAACAATACCTGGATACCTGGATAGAAAATTTAGGTAGCTCAGTGATTTAAATAAACCACCACCAAATAAACAATAAACTCGGCTTTAATCGGTGAACCTGTTATATGTGTTTAGATAAACAGACTATATTTAACTTAATTTAGAGGCCTATTTAGACTGAAACTCTCTCCGGCTGCTCAAGCCCTGTATACTTTGTCTCCTTATGCCAATGGTTATTGGCTAACTCTGTCTAAGCCTGAAAACTGACTCAGTATGACTACTGAACTACAATTTCTGCTAGTTGAAGGCAATCGTGGGGCCAAGCTCAAATCGAATGTATGGAGAACAGAGTAAAGTGGAGATGTGCCTCTGAAACCGCATGTTCGTCCAATCATAACCCAAGGGGAAATTTACTCCTTTACGTCTCGCCAGTGGAGAATAGGGCTTGAAGCTAGAGAGGCTTGAAGTTTCTGTAGCAGTGGTGTTTTATTTTTTACGGAATTGGTGGGGGGGGGTTAGCCAGCCTCATGCCCCCTGCCTTCCCTCTTTACCGGTTTAGCGAGGTAAAGGAGTGTGTTTGTTGCCAGGGATCGAACTCTGAACTACCTGTATGGTTGGTGAGCATTTCGCCGCTGTGCCACCGACTCAGAATAATACTCATGTATGCTAACACTGAAGTGATACATTGTTTTTACGTTTTGTATAAAAGAGAGAAACTAGCAATTCATTCACCTTGTTCTATTATTATTACTGTTTTTTCAGATCGTGCTTCTCTTTTACCTGGTTACTCGCCTGAAACTGGTGCTCCACACTCAGTCCACTACCTACAAGCACCTGAACCAAAAGTTGAATTGATCTCACAGGAGATTGAAGAGATTGTCTCCTGGATGCAATCAACTGTTGAGCTAGGTCGTATCATACGTACCCGATGTAATCTCCCACTGAAAGCACCATTACGTGAAGCAATAGTTATTCATTCTGATCCAGGTGTTTTAAAACTTGTAAAATCTGCACAAACTTATATTATTGAAGTAAGTGGTGTCTTTTTAGCTGATTGGCTAGTATTCACCATCTATATCAGTTTCTACAACTCTTATGTCAGCTTTACGTTAAATCACTGGAGAGAGATATAATGGCTCTACTTTCAGCCCATAGATATCGGGTTCGACTCCCGCTCTGTTTACTTTCGCCTGGGGAACTTGTCAGTGTCATTATCAGTCCGCAGTCAGTAAGTTTGACTGGTAGCCTGATTCATGAAGGAAGTGTCCCAGGCGCTGTGCTCCAACAAATAAAACTCAGATAGCGATCGCAACAACTGGTAGAGGCATTGTGCCTGCCTAAGGGGGAGCAACTTTGATGACTGAATTTCTGGTTTCACTTGAACCAGGCAAACCACTTTCCTAACCACTATGATTACCCACAATTCCGTGATGTTAAGAGTTTATGAAAACGATGAATCATAAACGTACTAATGGACTTTTAACTCTAACTAACTTCAGTGGCTCAGGGATTGACTTTTTACCAGGGGATAATCTCCTTGACTTTAAATATGCAGATGATATAGTCCTCCTAGGTGACAAAGTGCAGAGTCTTGTGAAAACACTGAGAAATCAGCGATCTGCGAATATTTGACATGCGATTCCCTCCCTTTTTCAAATGTAAAATGATTAGGCTACTGGACTGGACTAGATCTATCCCTAGCTTAAAGATAGGCAGGAGTGAAATCCTAGGGCGTGTTGACCACTTCACTTGTTTGTAAAGTTGCTTCAGCCAACAACGCCTATGGGTTGGTGGTCGCTGATGAGATCTCTGCACGGATAAAGAAGACTCATTTTTAGCATTTTCCAAGGTACACCATCACTGGCTTGGTGGACATGATATTCAGTTGGCTGGCTGTCGACAAATGTTCGTGCATACTGTTCAGCAGTCCGCTCCGGTCTCCTATATGTCTGTGAGTTAAACATGGCCATTGAAAAGGTTAGCTAGCTGTCTTTGTTCGTAGGCGTTCTTCCACCCATGTTTGGTGGTATAATAAGGTGAGCAATATTGAGGTTAGGCATCGGTCGAGTGCTTGGTATATGAGAGGGGAAATTAATCGACTAGGTCGTGAAGTTGCACCGATTGAGAGAGATGGTTAGGATATGCGTTACGCATGCATCCCTAGCCATCTATCGCCTTCCTCGACAACGGGAACTGTTAGCTGACACAGGATGATGGATCAGGTTAGAAAAGAGCTAGTGCTGATCAGACGAAAACATGGAAGCAGTCAGTGAAATCCATAACAGTTAGTTTAAACCACACATGGGGATGTAGACTTCCTGATTGGTTGGGGTCCTCGGGAGGGGAAAGCCAATCAGGGCTGAAGACAATTGGTGATATGGCTGGCTCAGAATCGTTTTCAATGGTTGAAACAGATGCATTCACTCTTTGTGATATATAATATCCAATAAAATTCTATTGTTCTTCCATATTACTATTCTTTTTGCTTCACGCTTATGCTTTTTATCCCCCTTTACTCTCTTCTCTTTCTTTGTGTGCTACCAAGAGGGGGTGTGGCAACTCGAAATGCTGCACATCTGTGCAAAGTTCTACGCTCAAACCAGTCGGTTTATTTGTATTAGTGTTTTATCCTGTATAATTGTTTGATGTTAGTGTAATATATATTAGGGATTCAGGTTACTCAACAACTACGTGTATATATTCATGCAGTTAGGTAATGCGACATACCTAGTTAGTATGTGAGGGTTTATGATACAATGTGGCTGTACATACCTCGGTAGGTAGATCGGGATCCGAACACTTGACTCACCTGGACTGATGAGCGTTAACTCCACAGTGTAATACATAATAAACAGTCGGTCAACTTGGTGGTGTCACAATTATTTTATTTGACTGAAATGCTTGCTGTCTAGTTACATGTCACCGGGTGGTAGTATAGACTACTGACTACTACTACCTTAGGGTTAACATAGGGATTCTTTGATTGGTGATGACCAGCAGGGGAATCTCAAATCAAACCATTTCATAAGAAATTCAGAGACAGGATGGCTATTAGGGTATTGTCGACAACCCTTTGGAATTTGGAACGACAGATGCTGGGTTTAATAATGTGATGAGCATCCTTCATTTTGATTTCCTTTTTTCATATCCTATCAAGGAATTGAATGTTCGCCTGTTAACCACAACAAGTGATAAACATCGTTATGGTGTTCAATTGCGTGGTGTATTAAATCATAAAACGTTGGGTGTACGCCTTAAGAACGATTACAAAGCTGTTGTAAATGCCGTAAAAGAAATGTCAACTGAAGAATTAGAAAAGTTTGTACACGTGAGTGTTTTTGTGATTAAATAATTTGATTAGTCATTTTGTTTAATTCATTCAATAAGTAATTCAATAGAAGCGAGTCAATTATCTAGGGCAGAATTTTCCATATGCACTGATAATATTGATTTTATACCATCAGCAATGATAAACACATCCCACAACACAAGTTGGATGGAATGCATAAACTTATGCCTAACAATGTACATCTGTAACGACAGGAGGCGAGAGTCAGGCAACCAACAGATCGTTTATTAAGGAAATCAACAGATATTTATAGATTTTTATGTACATTATTATTAGCGTTATTGTTAGCCGAAGAAGCAGCGTCTTCTGATTGGTTGTTTTCCTGCTGAAGGTGATTCTGTCATCACTTTGTGGCCGTCTCTTAGACAGTCCGGTGATATATCTGCGAATCGTATCCGCTCATGCTAAGTCTGCTGTGATTGGTTGTTAAGTTCATCAAGGTTAGGCTTTACTGTTGTATTTTCTCACAAATGAAGAAGTTAAAGGAACACCCGTGGGATCATCTATATCGGGTTTGATTGAAGAAGCAGTGATGCAAAATGACTCGAAAACATAATCCTGCCAAAAATAAAACCCAAAATTTGGATACTTTACGTAGATGACACATTTGTAATAATCAAAAGAAACGAGTTAGATAAAACTCACAACTTAATAAACAACGTCTTCAACGACATCAACTACACAAGAAAATAGGAATCCTAGAACGAAATCCCATTTTTCGACGTCTTAGTCAAGCGAAAAACTACAGGAGAATTAAAAACTCAAGTTTTTAGAAAATTAACCCACACAGACCAAATACTCAATTATAACAGCAACAATCCGACAGCATCAAAAGAAATTTTATACAAACACTATTGAAGAGGGCCAGCCAGGACTCATCTGCGCAATGCCACCTTAAGGAAAAGTGAAGAAAGATATCTCATGGATGTCTTCCAAAGGAATGGATATCCACAGAAAAAGACATTTCTATCCCCAAGCCTACTTAATAAATTCAAGCCCTCCCCCCCCCAAAAAAAACAAACAAACAAAGAAAATCTCCCTAATATATATATATATATATATATATATATATATATATATATATAAAGGAAATCTCAGAAATGACTGCAAGACTCTTCAAACCTTTAGGAGTTGTTATCGCACACAAACCAACAAAATCACTTCACTCAGCTCAACAACGAAAGAAGATAAAACCAACATCATCTTACAAAATAAATTGCAACGACTTTGAAAAACACAACATTGTTCAAAGTGGACGTCCCCTCCTCATCGACTTTGTATCCATGATCATAAACTAGCCGTCAAAAGAAAACATGGTATCCACTTCCTCACTCATATCACTGCATACAGACATCCATGGAGATGAATTCGACAGGGACAACCAGCGTTCAAATATAAGGCAGAGGGAACATCGACAATGCCGGAGAATTTTAGAAGGCTGGTACTCAATTGAGTTGGCAATTAGTAGGCACATTGCAATAGACAAGATTTACGAATCCATAAGAAGGAAATCACATGCATAAAAGGTCAAATTCCAGGTCAAGGAAACAATCGATAACAATACAAGTGTAGCCTGGAGGGTATGGAGACAGACAAAAACAACTAATCACGTTGAAGGTTACCACCAGGAGAGATGACTACTAAACTCATGGAGAAATCCAAAAGCTCACTTCGACAAATTGACGTGTGCGCTGAAGATGTTGTCTAATAAGGCAACAAAAGCTTCGCAGGGAAACCATTCAGTCCAGAGAACACAACTACCTGAGCTACAAATCATCTCCATCATATCTGAAGTTAGAGTATGTCGGAGAATGCTTACTCTCTAGGTGATGGTAGTAAGCTGAACAACCTAAATCAATCATCTTTACCTTCGTTTTATTATCATGCGTTGATGGTTCCGTGGTAGAATACTTTCCAACTAACTACGCATGCCGTCGTGAGGGTTCGATTCCTGGCGGAGGCATTCATAAATCGCTCTTAGCTGCCTGGTGACAAACCTGACAAAGAAGAAAATTTGTGTGTGTGTGTGTGGCTAACAATCCCACCCGGTAAAAAGAACAGCAAGAACCTCCGCCGCTACTGAAAACTTCAAAGCTCAAGCTTGAAGCCTTACGTTCCACTCGAAAGGGAGTGAAATGAACAATAAATAAATTACCAAGCTATATGACATATTGATGTGAATAGACTAGTGTGTGTTGAATTGGTGGATGGTGACTAGCAGTGGAATCCAGGAGGCGCATTTCGTCCTATTTGGAACTCGTCATCCGGGTGTCCCTGCGTTTTTCAGTGAGTGGTGATATTCCCACCGAGGCTCGAACCCAGTGCACATAGTTTGAAACGCCAAAGCGCTATCCACTAGACCACTTGGGCTACGAGTCACCATCCACCAATTAAATACTAATTAAATGCCCGGACATCGTCGAAGCATCCGCACAAGAATCCGATATGTCCACCTGAGACCGAGCACTTCGATCCAATCAATCAACGGGAAAATCTAAAATTCAATTAAATTAGTGTGTGCTGAGTTGTTTCCAATTCTTTTAATAGATTAATTGGATATTGGCTTTAATAACTAATTTCTCCGTTTAAAGTTAGATTTTCGTAAATTTATGACATCTATTTTCAACTATTGCTTTGTTGAGGTTTTAATCTTGTCAAACCTAATTTATTCTTAAACAGTTGTAAAGCTAGGAGCACCAGGTAGGTGTTTAGTACTAGTCCGGGTGTCGTCTTCAGCACTTAACCCCGCTTATCCTATCAGGGAATAAACCGCAGGACTTTAAGACTACGAGGGCAGCACCCTACCATTCAGTCATAGGCGAAAATTGGAATTTATGTCCCACAGGATTACAGTCCATGGATTTAAACACCGTACAACACCCTTGAGTGGATCTCTTATGATGAATTGAAGCTGATTAGTTGATGATTGCTGCCAGTGAATTATCTGTTGAAGACCAACTGTATATCAGGGGAGAATGGATAGTTGTTTTATCATATAGATTAGAACCTTCTTAATGTAACTGATTTTTCATCCAAGCCAATTAGAGGAATGATGAAACAGTCACCTCATAATCTCAGGATTCCTAGTTTGATTCATGATTGATCAGTTTTTTTTAAAAAAAAATTCAATTTTAAACTGATGTCGATAGGTTATGACATTTTGCTTCAAATCGATTTAGCTTTCCGCCTCCCGATGAATAATAATAATAATAATAATAATTTGCTTTTTTCCAGAACATTAATTGTGATACAGAATGGAATTCTCAACATTTTACTACAGTATTGCATCCAGTTAGTGCATTATCAATAAATAAAATTTTACATAGATTAAGGAAATATCAGTTCATTATGACAACAACACATTGGCATGTCAGTAGCAAAGCCAACAATTGAACAGAGTGTTTGAATGTGTTAGAAAAGTAGATATACTAGCATATTTACTGGCGTAAGCAGAAGAAAGAAACAAAGCTGCACATAACAGAAAAAGAGAGAGAGAGAGAAATGGAAAGGAAAGAAAGAAAAACGTTGTACCTATACATGATATGAGTTGGAAAGACGAGATCCAATTGTTCTGCTGGCTATTTAATAAGTTAAAGGTTTCACGCCTAATGCTTTCTTTATCGCACAGAACACGAACTAAGTAGGGTATGGTTGAGTTTTTGTACTTACTAGTGCGAGCATATAGTTTTCTATATAGGCTTCTGGTTTTGCCCGAAGAGATACAAAGGGAGAGTTTTGAATGAAGAGGGTGGTGTGAGTTAGATAGATAGAATGGATTTAGCCCATTTTTCATATTAGTCGAAGTGCCTGTCAACCAGAGTATTAACAAGCTGGTTAAGTGGCACGTAGCTTACCCTGCTGACAACCTTTAGCATCCTGCGTAATAGGGCATAGTCTTTCTTCAGTAGCCCAGGAAAAACTAAGGGGGAACAATAGAGAATGATAAGCAGAATGCGAGAGTTAACGAATCGTAGGAGTAAGGGTTGGGTTATACCAGAATGTCTTAACTTCTTGATGTAGAAGGTAAGACGGAATATTTTTCCAGAAATCATCAAGATATGAGACGACCAGGAAAGATCAGCAGATAGAATGACGCCTAGGTATTTAACTTCCGACTTGGTTTCTATTTCAGTGCCATCACTGTTGCACACCCCGTGAGTTCGAACCAGTTTGTTTAGGTCAGATTTGTGCCTAAAGGTGAAATGAACTGTTTGACATTTAGAGGGATTTAAGGTTAGACCGTTTTCCTTGGACCACTGGCTGATTTCTGATAAAAAGCCGTTTACTTTAGAGCAGTCACTTTGACATTTGACAGGTAAAGTTACAGTCAGGTCGTCAGCATATTTAACAAAATTAATGTCATTTGAAGATGGTAAGTCATGTAGAAAGAAAGAAAAGAGAAGTGGGGAGAGTACAGCACCTTGGAGGACACCAGCTTCAGTGAGCACAGTAGAGGAGGATTTACCTTTGTATACATGGCACTATATTCTGTTTGAGAAATAGGAATGCAACCAGTTAGTGACCCAGGACTCAGTTTGTGTCATCGAGAGCTTATTTAACAAGAGACATCTAGGTACAGAGTCGAAAGCAGAAGTGAAGTCGAGAAACGCGCAGCGAACGTATTTGGCACCTTTATCTAATGATGAGACGATACTGTTGTGTAGGACGGCTGCAGCGTCTAAGGTGTTCCTACCCTGTCTATAGGCAAACTGATTCATGATTAATGCCACCTGAAATTCAAACAACCCCTCAAAATTTAAAAATAGCAGTTGTGTGCCTTTTGGAGAATCTCTCTTGTCACTTAATCTTTATGCATGTTCTGTGTACAGTAATCATTATCGTGAAATAATAATAATAACCCTCTTCAAAACGATTCGATACCCTCACCATAATTTCATCAAAAAGTGTTTAAAATCGAATCAAAACACCAACAAGAAACCACCATCAAAGACGACAAGAAAATTCATCCTACCATATACAAAAAATATCTCTGAAATAACAGCTAGAATATTAAAACTGTTTGAAATAGAAATAGCACACAAGCCAGCCAACCAGTCAGCATAATCACTTCATTCGATATTGTGCAAACCAAAAGACCCATCTAACAGAAAAAGAAGATAAAATTAATACCAATTACAAAACAAACTGTATGAACTGTAACAGACATTATATCGGTCAACAAAGTAGGCGTCCCCTTCGAATCAGAATACACGAACACAAATTAGCTGTGAAAAGAAATGATATACATTCTTTCATATCAATGCATGTAGATAATTATGGACACCAATCTGATGATTGAGATAATGTTGAAATTTTAAACAGAGGAAACACCAAAAGTGTAGTCAGAGAATTCCTAGAAGCCTGGTTGGTACTCAAGCGAATATGCGATTAACAAACATGTTTCATTCTAGACCAAATATACCAATTAATAAAAAGCAAAATCATGTGACGAGAAAGTTTAAAATCCAAGTCAATAAAAATGATCAGTACACATGTAAATCGACTACAAGTCAAAAAGTTGGTTGCCAGCAGACGCAATTCTATCATTCTTGGAGACTGGCCCGATTCAAACAGTTAACCTGGGGTTGTAGTGCTAAGCGTTAACCAGTAGGTTGAAGACAAGGCAGTAACTCATCGAAAAAGGCATTTTGAAGTGGTCGCGCTAAGTCATGAATTGGCAGAAGTTAGAATTCATGGGCTGGACATTGGATTGGGTCCCAGTGGTTTAATGGTTTACGAGCTCGCTAACCTTGAAACCAGAATGTCCTGGGTTCAAACCCATGTCTTCGGGGTGGGTACGTACTGATGAAGAGTCCCAAACTGGATTGGCGAAACAGTTTTCTGTCCAGTACTCCTAGATGATTTTCGAATGGTTATCTAACTGATCGTCAGCTCATAGTTAAGCTTTGCAATTAAACCAACCATCTCAGCGCGATAAAGCTAATTGAAAGTAATCATTGTTACTATATATCGCTGTAATTAGTTATATTTTTTCACTCTAACGTAAAGTGACTGCACCGTTTGTTATAACCTGTTGTTTTCCGTCTTTAAATTTTTAAACAGACTGGCCATCTGATTGTTTGTGGACATGAATTATCCGGTGATGATTTGTCAGTGGTGTATACAACTGGTAGCGACGCCAGTTCATCGGCAGCTGGTACAAAACGTAAAGCAGAACAGACTACTGGGAACAATAATACTAGTAGTCAACAAAGCTTGTCAAAGTATGAAACTGCATCCGATGCCAGAGGTCTCTTAGTGATACTCGATACAACACCAGATCCTGAGCTAGAAAATGAACGATTAGCCAGGGAACTTGTTAATCGTATACAAAGAACACGTAAAAAGGTAAGTGGTACGATATTATTATTATTGTCATGATTGCTGTTACTTTTATCAAATTTCGAAGTAATACTTGACTGCAGCGTAGAATGGCATTTCATGTTTTCCTGGTAGCGTTGTGAGGTGAGCTTATGAGGAACTATATGTTAGGTGATGTCTCATATCGACCAGTAGTGCTTGCTAGCCAGATCGGAGTGATCTGGACACCACCGGATGATCATTTCACTCCTTCGGGATTGAGTACATTTAAGGTGTATCTGATTTGACCTAACTCAGAGAGCTGAATCGCAGTTCCAACCCCCCTCCCGATTTTTGGCTTCCTACTTCGGGGAGGTGGAGGTGAAATTTCACCACGGGAACTGCATACGAATCAATATTGAGCTGAATTTTAAACATCATGTTATTCACTTTCAACTCACTGAGAATATTTATAAATAATCCTCATCTAAGCATTGTTGTGAGACAAAATAAGGCAGGTGGTTCAGTGAAGAGGTACGTTTCTCTTTTCTTCAGCGATTTCATTTTATTTATCTGTACACAATCGCACTTACTATATTCAACACCTTATAGAATGTTCACCAACCGCACAATCTATGCAGGGTTCGATCCTCTGCCAACTTACTCCGGAAGCTCTCCTCTCCGGTGGTAAGTCAGCTAAAGAGGTTAGGTTAGGTTAGGCGTTAGATTTGCTAACCTCACCCCTTAAAAACAGCACATCTAAAACTTCAAAGCTCAAGACTTGAGGTTCTAAATTTCACTCAGAAGGCTAAGGAACAGAATAAATAAATAATTATGTAACTTTAATAGCAAGTGGTGGTCCAATGGTGGAATGTTAGCCATACACGTATTGAATTCACTATGGATCATGTAAATGATGGAAATTTCTGTTTCCTTGACATTGCTATGCAGCGCCTAAAAGATGGTAGTCTCCAGAGTTCAATTTACCGAAGGCCAAAATGGAATGGACAATGCCTACATTTTAATAATTTTTATCCAAATACCTATAAACGAGAACTAGCCAAGACTCTGTACTATAAAGGTAGAACAATATACTCTACAGAGAAATTAGAAGGATAATTTATGTTTCTCGAAAAGGTGTTGAAAAGCTATGGTTACCCTCAACGGTTCATTAACAATTATGGAAGATGTGAAGGCTCAAATGTCAAACAAATCACAGTGGAGAAAAAGTCAATATACATTCACTAGCTAGAGTTTATCCTGCGGCTAATCTGGTTCCCGTCTATCGAACAACTTGCTCTTTGGTGCAATCAAAAATCGATAGATATCCTTCTCATGTTACCTCCAACTGTATATACAAATTTACATGTATCTGTGGGAGCAGTTACATTCTTAGAACATAAAGAAGGGCACACTTTCGATTTTCTGAACATGTACCAAAAAGTCTATGTCTCAAGGCAACAAGTGCCTTAAACAGTGCCATAGTAAGGCGTCTTCTTCATATGAGGTGGACGTCGCAAGATCGTTCAAAATTATCAATAGGCGAAAGAGTTCACTTCCCCTTAAGTTTGCTGAAGCAATCTCCATCAAGCACTTGAAACCCTATTTATGCGTTCAGAAAGAAGCAGTTATCAGTCTTTCTTTGCCCTGCCTGGTAACTAAATATTTTCACACTCTCTCCATCTGATTATGTAAGGGTGAAGTTTTCCATTGTGTATGGTCATTATTGTTTGGGATATAGTGATTATTATTATTATTAGCATTGTATACATATATTGATTTTTTGTTTAAAAATAAGATCTCTGTGCAAGTATGTTAAAATTGTTTCTGTAGACATGCTTAATAATGACTTTCGCCTGTAAGCAGCTAATGAGAAGCCAACGAAATAAACAGTGATAGTACCATTTTATTCTGTAAAAACTGCTGTTGTTCTTGCTTTATTTAAGTTCATTAAAGGAAAACAAATGTTTAAAACAATTAGTTCCCTCTATGAATTTAGATAAAGGAATAAGAAGACGTAATTTGTCTGAATCGTGTAATGTGTTTGCGCAACACATTTCGAACAATCTGATCACACACGGACTTGTCATAGGAATATATATGAAATTAATAAAGAGGTAAGAGGTGAGAAAATAGACTTAGGTCAAGTTAAAAGGACATATTCAAGGTCAAAACAACAGGTAAGACCACTAAACCAAATAGCAGAGATAATAATATATATCCCCTGGGTGGTATCAAAACAAAATTTACCAAGAAAGGTTTAATGTGATGACGAATTGTTTTTGAACGCATAAAGGTGGCTTGAACTTTCTAATTGCTAGGGCTTCCACAAACTTTAGGATACGCTCCAAACATGTTTTATAGATAGGTTTAAAAGATCTGTTAACATCAATTTTATGTCCTGTCTCTATAATATGCTTCGGAGTAGAAGAGCTAAGTCTCCTGTTCTCACCGTTAATAGGTTCTGGAGATTCCATTTGTTTCTGGAGCCACTTAGGAATATGCTCTGAAGCCAGGCCTTACTTGCAGGGATCGATGAGTCCTCCCTATGAATGTGTATCCACACGTACATTGAAATTGGTAAATACAGTGGGATATGACATCATTTTTCTCATGTTCAAAGGGCTTAGATAGACATATTAGCCTAACATTCTCTATTATTATGATATTAGCTGCGTAAAAAGTCTTTATAACCACAGCAGCGTTCAGTCTTTGTTTAGTTATCAAGCTGCTTTGATGTCCCATATAGAGTAGCTTGATGTACACGTCTTTCTTAGGGGCCAGTTGGAGAGTGGGTCTTGGTGTTCTGAATACTTTATATCTCCTGATGAACTTGTCTGGATAATTGTTATCAACCAGGGTCTGTGTGTTGCGCAAATACATTACAGGGAAACAAATGTATAAAAAATATACAACTTTCTTTGAAACTGTTTGGATACTTTTACTCGAGCGTATTTCTTTAGAATAGTTTCTCATAAACCTGTTAGCTTTTTATAGTGTCATAAGTCGTATAGCTAATATAATAATGGATATAGGGTAAACTATGTAATTAAATGAGTTGTAGTTAGAAAAAGTTGGTTGGAAGCAACAGAGGGTCATTAAGTGGGTTAGCAGAAGTAGTTGAAAACTTCTCTTTTGTATGCAATTCTCTAGTTCCAATAATCTAGATGTCTAGAGCTTCATCAATGCAAAGATGGCTGGAATACTTGAGAAGGCACTATGGAATCCTTTTGTGTGAAGTGTAGTAGGTGAAAAGATGGGTAATAAAACACATATACAATGTATTCTCTGAGGTAACATTTCCTTTATTGTCCCTAATAATTATTATTTCCATTTTACTTTTAACTGATCCTTTATTTTCTCTTTTTGGTGTTGTATGACACAGGCTGAACTGGTTCCTGAAGATCCAATTGTAATTGTAGCTGCCACTGATTTAGACGCTTATTACAATGTAGCTGGTCCCAATGGCAGTTATGTTAATTTCATCCAATCAACTATTAAACAACCTTTAGCTGTAATGAAAGAAAATTTGGACAAGAGTAATGCAAATAACAGTGTGGAGATTATGAAACATGCTAGTAGTGTTCTACCGAATGGTTGGCAATTGGCTAAAGAAATTATCCGGGAAACAGTATCGGTAAGAAATATATACATACTTATTTTTAATATTTTTACCTGCAGAATATATTTTGTTCAAATGTAATCACTGTCACCGTGTTAGTTTGTTCCCGAAAATAGGAAGAGGTTGTTGAACATGGTCCATCAATGTATCACTCTTGTTGTTATCATGTTGTCTACTATGCGCCTCACTTAAAAACGGCGTTGCCCTTTTCTTCTCGTTTCTGTTTAATTTAATCATAGATGAACTAATGGAATGAACTTCAGCGACTCAGGGATTAACTTTTTACCAGGGAATAATCTTGTTGACTTAAAATAGGCGGATGATATAGTCCTCCTAGCTGAAGTTGTTGAAAAAATTCAGAATCTTCGAATGTTTAACATGTGATTCACTCCTTTTGTCAAATGTAAGATGATGAGGCTACAGCTACACCTCCCTACGTGGCTGGTTTTCTTAGACTAACTATTGTGTGGATTTCATTGACTAATGAAGCCATGCTTTAGTCTCCCCAACACTACTAGCTCTTTTCCAACCTATCTGTCTGTTTTCGACATAGAACTCTGCACCGATGTGCGACAGTTCGAGTCGCCACACTCCCTCCATGTAGCACACAAAGCAAGAAAAGAAAGCAGAAGAAATGCATCATAGAGACAGTAGATAGGGATATGAGGGAAGGGGAATAATAATACCGAAGAACAATATAGTTCCATTGGAAATTATAAGTCACAAGGAGTGGATGCATCTGCACTAGCCATCACTGAGAACGGTTTTGAGCCATGCCACCAATTGTCCCTAGGTGTCATTGGGTTTTACCGTCCCGAGGACCCTAACCAGTCAGAAGGTCTACACCTTCCTACGTAGTTTAAACTAACTGTTGTGGATTTCATTGATTGGTGCCATGATTTCGTATGACCGCCGCTAGCTCTTTTCCAGCCTGACCCTTTGTCAGGCATACATAGCACATGTCCTAAGCATCTCAGTTGATGTAACTTCACAGCCTCGTCGATTGATTTCGCCTCCTTACCTAGCACTCGACGCCTTACCTCAGTATTGCTCACCTCATTTTACCACTTCACATGAGAGATAGAGTGCGGTACCTATGATTAAAGACAGCTAATCTTGTGATGTCTTCTACTCTCAATGACCACTTCTCAGTCACAGGGATAAAGGAGGACGGAGCGGACTGCTGAGCAGTACACACGCCCATTGGTCGACAGACAGCCGGATATCACGTCTACGCCGGAGACGGCGTAAACACTGGCATATACGAAATTAGCCCTCTGTATCGTGCTGAGATTTCGTCAGAGATCAACTTGTTGGCGTTGGCTGATGGTACTCCCTAAATAAGTGAAGCGGTCAAAGTGCTCTACCACTTCACTCCCTATTTCTAAACTAGGAGTCAGTGTGGTCCAGTCCTGTAACATCATCTTACATTTGGCTGTAGCGAATCGCATGCAAACATTTATAGATTGCAGCTCAAGGTGTTTAGAAGACTGCATTTTTTCAGCGTCCTCGCCTAGAAGGACTATATCGTCTGCATATTCTAAGTCAACGAGATTATTCCCTGGTAGGAAGTCAATCCCTGAGTCGCTGAAGTGAGTTAGGGTTAAGTCCATTAGTACATTTATGATGAAGTTGAATAGAAATGGGAATAATAGGCATCCTTGACTGACACCACTAGTCGTCACCATTTCAGATGACAACTCGCCGTAAGCCCTCACCTGGCTGCATGAGTTCGAGTAGAGTGCCTTATTCAGTGCAATATATTTTCTCGGCATTCATTTTACAGCCAAGCACTGCCAGAGTACCTCTCAGTCGACAGAATCGGATTCCGCCTTTAGGTTAAGAAATATAATGACTGTTGGACGCCGGTAGGAATGCCTATGTTCTAGGATATGTCGAAGGGTGAAGATATGACCAATACGCCCTCTTCCTGGTCTAAAGCCTGCCTGGCTCTCTCGTGTTTGTGCCTCCCGAGCACCACTTAGTCTACGCATGATTATTGAGCTTAAGACTTTAGATACTATATTAGTCAAGCTAATCCCTCTGTGATTACCACAGGAAGACTTGTCTCCCCTCTTGTGTATAGGGATAATCAGTGACTTTTCCAACCTGATCCATCCTATGTCAGTTAACATTGCTCCGTTGTTGCGAAAAGGCGATGGCTAGACATACGTATGACATGTCGTAACCATCTCTTTCATTCGATGTTAGGTCGGTTATGAGAACCCAGTTATCTAGGAGAATCTTTGAGACACACTTATTATTTGAAGACACTACTGATCTTACCCAGTCTACCAGGCGGAAATAGGTGCAGCCGAGACTAACCACCTGAAAGTCCACTAATATAACACTGTTATTTTCGGACATGTGTTCATGTGTTTTACATATAAAATAGTGTAGAGGGAAAGTCAACCATCAATGACCACTACTTTCAGATGATGAAATATAGAAAAATTTTGCTTGAAAAAACAAATATAGAAGTATGGGATCAATTTGAAATTGCTCAAAATACAGCAAAAAAAACAACACATAGTGACATAGTGTACTATGAAATATGAGTTAGTTTTGATAATCAAACAAATTCTGAGGGAATAACAACATTTATCTCCTTTTCCCCCGAGTTGGGCGTATTTCGTCACCTTGGTTACAGCTAGTTACTGAAGTTTGTTATTGTCAACAAGAGACAATTTTCATTTCGAGTATGATATATTGATCAGTTTACATTAAATGACTATTGTGGTAGCATAAGCTACTTATAAGTAGTATTTAAAAAAATTAGATTACAGCTTGATTCCACACTGTATTTTTTGGGTACAGGTATGGAATTTTCAGCATGTGATATCGGTAGCCCAAATTTTGTAGGCCGACCATTGATATCAAGTGTGTGCATCGGTAGGGGATCGAACCTCGGACCATGTATATGGTCGGCGAGAGTCCTAACCACTGTGCCACCGACGCACACACAAAATATAAAGACACACACTGTCCAGAAATAGTCAATATTCTGGTTTTATTTATTGGAGTTCATATCTAGTAGATGTGAATTCTGATGAAAAGACTGATATCTCAGATGGGTGTTTTCTCTAGATATTGTTATTCTGGAGCTTTCATTAACCCTTTTGGACAACTAACTCTTTTAGCGAGATAACTTTTACTGCGAAGTTAAGGGAAACAAATATTTCATCCATTTCAATTTTATTTCACGACATTGCTTATAGGTTGACTTGGATTCGTGTTCTACTCCAACTATTTCTGTCTGATGACGATGGGATAGTGTTGTCCGGCATAAAACATCAAAAATAAAACATTTAAGCGAACCCAGTTTCGAACCCAAGACCTTCCGGTTATAAGGCAAGCTAGCTTGTATACTATTCAACCAATGGGGGTCCGAAACTTGAAACTTTCTTCTATTTTGCTTGCATTTCAAATGAACCTTGGGTTTTTCTGAAGTTTCAATAGCTGCGGTATTTTTTCTTCATATGGAGTGGGTTACTAGCCTCACACTCATGCTTCCTTCATTCTTGGATTTACTGTGGGCTAGGCGAGGTTAATGTGGATGTTGACATCAGCCGGGAACTGAATCCAAACCTTCTGCTTCGTTAGCGAGTAACCTGCTCGAAATTATATTGGTTATACAAGAATGTTAATGCCATATGTTAACTGTTGGATTGATCGCAGAGAAAACATTATAAATCGTCCAGTACTCCCAGGTTTTCCAATGTCAAACCTGTAAAAAAAATCAATAAACGTTGCTACCTCATGGCGCTATCCAATAAAATTATAGTTTATGAAATTGAAATCAACTCTGTGAGATGCAATCACTAACAGGTGTGATCATGCAATTAACGTGAGTGAAATTGAAATGTAGTCACCATGGCGTTAGGAGATCGAGCATACTACATATATATATATATATATATATATATATATATATATATATATATATGCAAACGTTTAGTTGGAAAAGTTTAATTGCAATTGCCTTCACTAATCGTAATAAACTTCACTCGTCTTCTGTACACATTTATTATTTTAAAGAATGTGAAAGTATCAACAGAAAATTCAATTGGTCGCTCTTTGGACATGCCTTCTTCCCTTAGAGGTATAAACTTCTTGGAAGACGCTCTGAAAACCAGATCTATCAAGTCTTAAAGTCATTGATCTATTCTTTTTACTTTGTTGATATTGTTCATCTTCTTCTAATAATATTTCATTTCTCAAGAATTTTTTCCACATTTTTTATAAAATTTAGATTCCACCAGATAATATCGATCTTATCCTGTTTTCAAGAAAGCAGTGTAACACCAACGACACCACCAGTACATCAAATGCCACTGTCGAACCGTTACATGTTACTGTTGCCTTTAATCATAATGACAGCGGTTCAAAGAATGTTAAAGTTCAACTGAGAGATTCAAATAATCATTGGTTTGTACAAAATACTGATGATTTATTAAGAAAGGTAAGTCATTTATTCATTATATTAAAATTACATATTTATTGTGCTTATTGTTCATCCTATTATGGATAAAAATGTTGATAAAATCACACAATGGTGTTATATAGTAATATTTACTGATGATAACCACGTTTCAAGCACAATTTATTACTACTGCTCATAATCATATCAAGGTACTCTCTCTCTCTCTCTCACACACACACAAAACTCTGACTTCGTTTATATACATGAGTAAAAAATTGATCAGATATATGGATAGAAATCAATAAAAGTTCATTAAACATAAGTGAGTGCGTTGGTGGCACAGTGGTTAGCACGCTCGCCGACCATGCACAAGATCCGGGGTTCGATCCCTGGCCGACGCACTCCTTTACCTCGCTAAGTCGGAAATAAGTCGGAGGAAAGGTCGGGCATGAGGCTAGCAACCCCATCCTGTAAAATTAAACACTGCTACAGAAACTTCAGGCCACTAGCTTGAAGCCCTATGTTCCACTAGAAACGTGAATGATAAAAAAAGACATAAGTGAAACAGAACAAGGGATAAAGTACACTCGGAAACAATATTAGTTTGTCAATAAAATAAAATACGATGGGAAATAAAACGAGTAGTGTTCTTATTGATCACGAATTAGCAGAAGTTAAAACTGATATTTCTTTGGATTATGTCCCAGTGTCTGAATGACGAACGATGAGATCGCCTAATAATCGGATGGTCTTTCGTTTGATCCCCGGTGAGATCATGGGTGTGTATACCATTGAAGGTTCTCGAACCACAAGCAATACGCCATTGCTGTCCAGTACTTTTGGTGTGTTTCCAATGGTTCTCTGACTAAAGTTAGTTTGTGATCACACTTAAATTGGTACGTTGGATGGGTTGGTTTATTGACTAAGGTTTCATGATTGTTTTATTTTATCCAATGCTAACTTCAATATGATGGTAACCTTGTAGAGTTCTCTATGAGTTAAATTAACATCTTTGCTGATGAACTTGACAGTGGTTAACTAGTAACTGTGATGGGCTTTTGTTTGCTGACCTGTCAGTCAACCTTTTTGTCTGTGTGATTTAAATTTCAAACTGGAAGATATGCAAGCGAATCGCAAGAAGTTGGCAGAAGAAGCATCAAAGATAGGACTTCCTTTAGGTGAACATAGAGAAAACAGGGGAAGGTGATGAAGATTCCTGGTCAACAGCAACAGTAGCAACAACAACAGACAACAATCAGCCAGCTTAAATGTGAGAAATCTGAAAGTAGCAACCTCCTTTGCCTGCCTGGGAAGCATCGCTTCAGCTACAGGTTGACGGAACTGATGAGGATATCAAAGCAGCGAGGATCGGGAAAGTAAGATGAGCTTTCATTACTCTCAAATCTGTCTGGAGGTGAACAGCACTCAGCATGGAAAATAAGATCCGGGTTTTCAACTACAATGTGAAGTCAGTGCTACTTACTTTACGAATCCGAGTCTTGGCGCATTACGAAGTCCACTTCGAACAAACTAAAGACAGTCATCATCAACAGCTGTCTTCTCTGGGAGCGAACCAACCCAGCAGGAACCGATCGTGCAACAGATAAGCAAGAAAAAATGGAGGTGGATCGGCCATACTCTGAAGAAACAAACCATCAAGTGAGTGACATCACACACCAGGTCATCGATCGAGTGGAACCTTAACGGGAAGTGGCGAAGTTGGTCGTCAGCGTGAGAGTGACGTGGAGGAGGTCATGTGAAGGAAGAGGAGGTTAAAGCAATGTGGGCAGACGTGAAGCCAGATGAAAACGTTCTCAGAGGACTGAACGCAATAGAGACGTGCGGTTGAAGCCTTATGTTCCTCCAGGAACTAAAGCAAACAATGATATATGATAATAGTAATAATAATGTTCTAAACAATCAGTTCCAATAAGTTTGACTGGGCTTAAGTTACAGTGACATCATGGACTAGTTGGTGTGGTACAATAAGGGAACCAAGTGGGGCTCCAAACAAATGGGGATGCCCAGATCGCAGCAGGTGGTTGGCTTAAGGGGCCCTCCGGGCTTTTGACTTGAAGTAGGTATGATTTATAAAGCAGTGGATTAACGTCAGAAACTGCGTCCTTGCGTCATTCGATCAGATCATGCACACCATACGTTTTCAATCCCCCCACCCGCTAGGTAGACCTGCCTGTGCACCAGTCCGGTTGTAATTGCCAGTTGTTTTACCAATCGGATAATGAGTTTAGCATGCTTAATTCATTCATAAAGTTTTTTCCCATACACCGTTTAGCTTAAAACAACAATTTGGTTGTATCCACAATCAGCGCACTACTTACACATCACAGTCCGCAAAACTCTATTGGTTATTTATAAAGTCTTATGCTGATTCTTTGTTATCTGTCTATAATGAATTATTCTTTTTTTTCTCTCCCTCTCTAAACTCCTCTCCACCCCCTCAGGTGAAATGTGTTCTTGGATGGTCGAACAGTGTCAATCTACAGCTGTATACCTCTAATCCTAAGAATTCGACTGATGTGATGATGAAGCGTCTTGTACACCTGTCGTCTAATCAGTTATCTACTTTGCATGGGACTACTCTGTATGCTGCTCTATCTTAACTCTTGTGTACAACTGAACTAGTATTACGATATCTATTTTTCTTTTTGTATGGATAATATGTACTCTATATAAAGTACACGGAAAAATGAGTAGTTTTCATTGTATCATTTTTCTGTATGCGTGTGTGTATGTGTTTGGATGGTTCGGTGACATTGAAATGAACTACTTGAAATAGTGGGAGGAGCGGTAATGTTGTTTTGTGTGAGACCACCACACAAAAAAAGTTGGGCTTCAGCAATGCACTTACAATTCATCCCGTTCTTTGAAGTCCTCTTAAGCAGCTGGCTGCACGAATGCCTATAGGCTTTCATTCTTGCTCCCACCTCCCCCGCACGTCAACTTTGGACTATCGCACGCTTAAATCGTTCCTTCTCCTATTCGTGTTCCACTCGAGGGCCTGGCACACAAAGTCAATCAGTAGTTTTTTCAGCGTGTATCCGATCCATTTCTATATATGTCGTTAGGCAATGGATTCTTGGTTTTGTTCGTTTACCAGAGTTCCTTGTACTGAAGTCATTCTCGCCATTTGATCTTCAGTTGTTGATGAAGGCGTGCATCAGACGAATGTTTGGTATGTGATTCGCTGCCGCCAAATGTGAGATGATGTTATGGGACTGGACTACATTGACTCCTAGCTAGAAATAGGGGAGTTATTTATTTATTTATTTAAACGCATGAAAAACTTGGTACAATATGGCACCAAGAAAGATGCGCCACACAATAATAATAAAACAACATAGATCAAAAAAAAGGAAGGAAGGAAAAGAAAAAATATATATAAGTAGAGAACGGATAAAGAACTTCATCTGGAAGGAAAACAGTCATGCTTAACAAGTTCAAACAGTGTTCGTTAGCTATCATCGGGAAGGGAAGAAAGAAGGAAATCGCAACACATTCGCCACTGATTACGATTCTTGGCCATATCCGATAACGTTTCGAGCCATCGATTTGAGCTATCTCTCGGACCCCAACCAGGGAGTCGTGACACACCAACCGATGCTAATCTAGCACAAAAATCCTTCATCCCACGACGCCACGTCATGGACTGACCACCTCTCCGCCTTTTCCATCCCGTCCCAGGGCTAGCGAACAGAGACCTGTACGGAAGCCTCTGGGGTGACATTCGGAGCACATGTCCAAGCCACCGGAGCCGGTGTTTCCAGATGACGACATTCAATGAATGGTGATCTCCACTTTGTTCAAACACACGCCGCCGAACCTCAGAATTACTCACGCGATGATGCCATCGAACGCAAGCAATCCTGCGGAGACAGCGGTGATCGAACACGCAGAGTCGCCGCACATCCTCAGCTCGGAGAGGCCAGGTTTCACAGGCGTAGAGCAGTGCAGCCCGCACCGAAGCATTGTATACCCGACCTTTGACAGCCAGGCTAACGTCGCGACGGCGCCATCGGTGGCTCAAGTTGATGTATGCCACCCTAGCCTTCATTATACGGTTGGAAATCTCATCCGTCACCCCTCCGCCAGCACTCACACAACTACCCAGGTACACAAACTTATCAACAACTTCAAGCGGTTCACCCGCAAGAGTGAGTGCAGGTACAGGCTCCTGCCAATCTTGTAACAGTACTTTGCACTTAGACGGCGCAAAGCACATACCATACTTACAGACACTGATCGCCAACTGATTAAGTGCGATTTGGGCAGCCTGCATGCTATCGCACAGTAAGACGATATCGTCTGCATACTCGAGGTCGAAAAGTCTATCTCCAGGTAGCAGATCTACACCACCTTCACGCACATCCTTCAGA